AGCTAATTTACCAAACACTTCTCTACAATCAGCTAATGCTATCAACTAGTCAAACCCACTAACCCAATCAGCTAACAACTATTTACCAACCACCCCCATAGTCTAAATAAAGAACCAGATGATCTAAGAAACTGCCTGAAATTGTCTTTTTATTGTGATAATGTCTGTCTACAAGTTTGCTCTTTTACATGCACCCAGGTAACAGCAAGGGCAGTTTACTCAGCTATAGCCAACCTTGGCGTGACACATTTCTGCGCTGCCCCAGTGGTACTTAATACTATTGTAAATGCCCCGAAAGAGGACACCATCCTTCCTCTACCTCGTCTTGTGCATGTAATGACAGCTGGCGCTGCTCCCCCACCTTCTGTTCTTTCTGCAATGTCCCAGCGTGGCTTTCGTGTTGCACACACGTATGGCCTCTCTGAAACTTACGGGCCCTCCACCATATGTGCATGGAAGCCCGAGTGGGATTTACTCCCCCCAGAAACCCAAGCGCGTCTGAATGCACGCCAAGGTGTCCGATACATAGGCTTGGAGCACCTCGATATCGTCAGCACCCAAGACATGAAGCCTGTCCCCGCAGATGGAAAGACGATCGGAGAAATCGTGTTCAGAGGCAACGTGGTGATGAAGGGCTACCTGAAGAATCCTAAGGCCAACGAGGAGACTTTTGCAGGTGGGTGGTATCACTCGGGTGATCTTGCTGTAAAGCATCCAGACGGCTATATCGAGATCAAAGACAGATCAAAAGACATCATCATTTCTGGGGGCGAAAACATTAGCAGTGTCGAGGTTGAGAACATCCTATACCAGCACCCAGCGATACTTGAAGTATCTGTAGTGGCAAGACCCGACGAGCAGTGGGGGGAATCTCCTTGCGCGTTTGTGACACTAAAGGCTGATGTAAAAGATTCTGACCGGGATCGCTTGGCAGGAGATATTATAAGTTTCAGTCGATCAAAGATGCCAAAGTATTGGGTTCCAAAATCAGTGATATTCGGGCCATTGCCGAAAACTGCAACTGGAAAAATACAGAAGCACTTGTTGAGGGCAAAGGCAAAGGAGATGGGACCTGTAAAAAAGAGTAGGCTATGATCTTAAGATTCTTTGCAATACATGTCATTGTTTCTGTTATATGTAGTTGCCTTTTCACATGTACTGGAACCTCATGTAATCTCAACTTCTTGTTGCATAAAATAAGGTTTGATTTGAAGCTTTAGCTGTGTTGTAATGCATAAAAAGTGCATTATTTGGGTAATAAAGTATATTATTTGAACGTATATTATTTTGTATATAATTAAATAATGTACATTCAGTACACAAATAATTTACTTTTGGTATATTAAAAATGTATTTTTATATGGTTTACATAGCACTATATGTGGATCATGGTCCACATAATAATTTGCAACAGTTATTGCGTGGACCGTGGTCCATAACGACGTCGTTTCATTTTTTTAACGCGACCCGCTGCATCATATCTTTTTTTATAACTCATAACGTATATTATTCTAAAGTACGATGTACATTATTCTAACTCATAAAATACATTATCTTATCCCAGAAATTTCATTATTCTAACACGTAGAGTATATTATTTTAACACATAAAATACATTATTTTAATTTATAATATTCAACGATGTCGTTTTAGACCATGATTCACACAATAATTTGCGAATCGCCCCCTACTGGGCCTTCAATGTCCGTCGATCTTGGGCTCAGCCCGCCTATCTTCCTGATTATTGGGTCAGTGAGCATTTGATCCTGTAGTCATTTTTTAGGCCTGCAGGCAGACCCATCATACCATTAAAATGTAAGGTGTTTGGCAAATAATGAAGTTAAACGGAAAGGGAAAACTTAAAAAATATAAAGGAAAAAAAAAGGAGAAGCTGATATAATTGTGGTAAATTATATTGTGTATCATGATCTATATTATAAAATGAACTATTTATAAATGTTTTTTTTTTTTAATTTTTAATATATACTATAAGTTTACTTTTAGGTTGTATACTTAAAATACATTTGTTGCTATGCAAATGTAGAAAAATAAAGTGATAACTTCACTACTAAATATAACTTTTGATATAGTGATAAACGTTTGATCATAACAAAAATGAACTATTATTATATTAAAAATGATTTTATATACAAGTGATCTCCGGTATAATGATTGTATAATTGTCGTGGAATTGAAGGTGAGAGTTGGAGGGTGGAAGAGAGTTTGTTATTTGTTAGCCGTAAAGAAACGGTAACGTTTGACTGAGAAGAAAAAGAAGACAATGAAGTGCTCATACCTACTCATAAGCTTACAAAAAAAGAGTTACTCTACATTTATTTGATACCAAAATTTATATTATTTTATATTTTATGTGACTAATTCAAAATAATTATAAGATTTTATATTTATTATTTTCATAAATTAACTAATTTTATAATTTTATAATAAATTATTAAAACAAAACATACAACATGACACTAGGTCATCAATTAATACTAGATCTAATACATGTATAGAGTAGCATTTAACCTTGAGGTCATAACTTTAGATCATGAGTCCGATCGAATAATATTGAAAGTTATGTAGTGCAGTTCTTCGTTGTAAAGGTATAATAGTTGTTTTTCTTAAATGGATTATCAATCATGTTTATATTTGATTATGTAATATAATACAATACATTATGTGTGTATAGATAAAAATAATATATATAATATAATAATAATAATAATAATAATAATAATAATAATAATAATAATAATAATAATAATAAGTCTTTAGGAGAAAACTAAAATCTAATCTCAGTTTTACATTTGAAAAAAATCAGACGAATGTATATATGTATGTATATAACCATGAAATTACACCTTTAGCATGTACGGAGTATTAATTATATGACTTTCTCAATCCTTTTTTTTTTTTTTTTGGTAAAATATTTCAAATTTCTTGAAGAATATGCATGTTTGGTGCTTCTTCTTACCAAATCTATTTATTATATATGATGAATGCTCTTTGTAAACCGCCACCACAACTGTTAATTTTAATTGAATGTTGAAATGGTCTTAAAATGTATTATTGACACCTTATGAGTAATTAAGACACATTATGATAATCCTAATTATACTAAAATAGCTGATTCTTGGGAAGCTTTCCAAGTCCAACTTCCTTCTATCTAATTTTTCTCAAGTGATTTTTTAGAGGGGCCATTTTCTCAACCAGCCAATTAAAATTATATATCAAAATTAATCCTGTTTGTGTTTTAAGTCTCAAGTTTAACTCTCTGTGAAAGTTATCTATTGACATTCTTGATTTAAGCCAGTTGACAACCTAGACTAATTTACCTCCATGTGATCCTTTACTGGCGCAGACGCACAGTTAGAGTCACAAGCCGGACTGCAACCAAATTAAAGTACATATTTGAATAATGTGGCAGACTTTACTGTAAATCAAAGAACTACATACCAAAATTGATTCTTTTCGTGTTCACCTTTGATTAAATTGAAAAATACCTACATATGCCATCTCGATCATTTACACCCGATGAGCAATTTATGGATTTATACATAGCAAATGACAAGTATAATTGTTAACCATGTGATTTACTCGGTAAACAACAAATTTTGAGTCTTCTAAACGTAATAGCGCCTTCCAACAACTAACATTAACTAAGTCTCACTAGGATAGGTCTTTAGATAAAATCTAGACAATCTCATCGAGCATGTCAACCTAATCAAGGTTAAACCTAATTACTTTGAATCGTTGACCAGATATAATCTTATTATAAACTCCACATATTTTACCTTAGACAAAATCAAAGATACCCAATCTTTGAAACATTTTTCCTTTCTGCCCACGAAGATTGTGAAATTTAGCAAACAAGGAAAGGAGGTTGGGATGACTTATGAGATTGAGAAATGGAAAAAGAAGTGGCAGTGTGGCACGTGTATTATGTATGATGCACCAAACCCGACCCAAATCGACGACTGTCGGTATCTAAGCATAATTTGCTAGTATAACAAGTTTGTACGGTTTGATTTCTCTCCCAACAATTATAGATTGAAAAGACAAAGCTAAAAGGGGACCATAAGAGATAATGATGCCCTAACAACTGCAACATCTTCATTTAGTTTTTATATATAGTTATTATCTTTTAATTTTATATGTTATACGTTAGAATTAAAGTCTTAAAGATATAAAGAAGAATGTAATCTGTATCGATAATTAAATTTAAAAAAATCTTGAATGAAATCAATTTCTTTATCAATGCAATTAACTTTGTCATCGATTGCACTGTTTATATGTTATATTAATTACTTCATTTGTTTGTTTGTTCGTTTGTTTGTTTTTTGGTATATCTTTCGAAAGTGTGGGTGATGATATTCAAACTCCAATATTAATATGTTTCCGCCCTTACTAATCGTAGGGTGTTGCTGAAACAAGAATGCATTAGAGATCATAAATGTTTTATACGTTGATGAGATATAATTGCGTTTGATGACTTTGATCTGCCAGCTATTGCTATATACTTACTAAATGTATATGTTGATGATCATGTTGCTAGACTTGAATCTCACTAAGTTTTACACGTTTGATTTACGGAATAGGTAAAATATGGAATAACATTTCAGCAGCGACTAAAATTTTGACAAGTCATTTATTATTGGGAATAATATTACTAAAAATGACTTATAGGGGAATATATATTTCGAGGAGAACCTATTAGACTACCAAACAATTTACCCCATACGTGCAAGATTGAGTGTTCAATGGACTACATAAAACCTATTTAAGTAAAAATTGAACGAAAACTTTAATATAAAATATCTATTAGTCCCGTAAACGATACTATCAATTCTTTTTCACATTACTAAAACTGACAAAAAAATAAAAAAAGCATCTAATATTTTCCAATTTCTGTCTTTAGAATTATCCTAAAAAAATGAAACCAACAAACCTTAAATAGGAAAATAGTAAAAATTCAGATTCTTACTCAAACGATCCTTTTCCAAATTTCCCAAACACCTACCTATCCTCTTACATATATATGATATATGCCTCCATCCTCTCTACTTCTCTTTGTCCTTAGCTTGCTTCTCTACTTTTCTCTCCTTCAAGGTAACCCTACATTCTTCCTCTTTTTCTCTGTTTAATGTTCTGTGTTTCTTCAATTTCTCCGATACATAGTTTCGTGAATTTTCCTCGTTTTCTGGTCTCATATGTTGCAATGATTTAAATCTGAGGGAGAGAGAGGAAGGAACAGCCGTGTCGCGTTTGTCAATTGTCGGTGGTTAATTTGAATCCGATCATGTTTTTGTTGTGAATTGGTTGCGTGTACGCAGTGTGGTTTTATCAATCTGCGGCGGTTTGTTGTGGTTTTTTGTAGTACTGTTTTGATGAGTTGATTGTTTTTGACGAGGAACAGTGCGTAGAGGTTGTTGGGTTGCTGGAGAGGATCATCGGACTATATGGCGGATTACGAGAAGCTTGAACATTACTCTGCTTCATCGGAAGATCACCAGGTAATTTGCTCTCTCTGTCTCTCTCCTCTGTAATTCTCCAATATCCACATACTTCAATTCTGTCTCATTGTTCTCTTTTTTGTTTTGTTTTTTGTTTTTTGTTCTTTCCAATTATTGTTTGATTCTTTTTGGGTTTGAGGAGCTAGTGTTTTTTAGTTTTGGAAAATTTTTACAAGGCATAAGTGTTAAATAGACCCATCTACTATTGCGAAGTGCTCAATTCCCACCACGAATTAAATTAAGTGTCAAATAGGCCCATCTACCAGCTAAATTTGTTCAATTGACATTTTTTACAGGTTGCTAGCAGGTTGCTATTTAATTATTAAATATAAATAAATAAAATTAAAAATTAAAAATTAAAAAATTAAAAAATTAAAAAATTAAAAAATTAAAAAATTAAAAAATTAAAAAATTAAAAAATTAAAAAATTAAAAAATTAAAAAAAAATCAGCCCCCGGCTGTCCGGGTGGCTGATTTTTTTTTAATTTTCTAAATTTTTTATTAATTTTTTATTAATTTTTTATTCTATTTATTTATTTATTTATTTATTTATTTTTAATAATTAGATAGGCAACCTGCTACCAACCTGTAAAAAATACTAATCGAACAAATTTAGTTGGTAGATGTACCTATTTGACATTTAATTTAGTTCGTGGTGGGAATTGAGCACTTCGCAATAATAGATGGGTCTATTTGACACTTGTGCCTTTTTACAATGTTTTGTTTAATATAGTTGTACCTTGTGGTTTGCAAGTTGTACTTTTTTTTTTTTTACATTTCAAAAAATTTCAAAATATTTGAAATTTCATTTTGAAAGTTGATTCGATATCTAGACATTTCACTTTAGGTTATATATATATATATATATATATATATATATATATATATATATATATATATATATATATATATTTTAAATTCATAATCTATCATTTTATTAAGAATTTGTGTTTTTAGGGGAAATTTTTTAACACTTTTAAAAAACTATCGAATTTAAGTTTGTGAATAAAATAACACATATTTAGAGATCGAGTTTGTGTGTGATGTTCAATATTAATTCGATTTTAGATTATACGACACTCGATCAGTTATAAAAAAAATTATATTAAAATATAAAAAATTGAGTAGTCTAATACATCGTTCAAAGTGTATATATATGATAATATTTTTAAAATATTTCAAATCACTTTTTACTTTTTTTTTTCTTTGGTGGGCTTAGAAGGAAGGAGAGAATGATAATATTTGAAAACCTTTTCCTATATCCTATCTTTTGCCTTCAAAAGAGGGATTTGCTATTAGATTTTCTATTAATTTTTTTCCCATTAAAAAATGTGGACAAAAAATATCATACCAATAGATATTTCAAAGTCATAATAATATTAAAATAAGCACAATGTGACTTCACTGTGGGGCTAGCCAGTGCTATAATCACGTGCACCGTGGAGTGGCCTAATGTATGGCATTGTTATTAGCCACAAACAAAAATTGGTCCTTTTAATTGTATGCCCATATTTTTAAAACATTGTCGGTACAACCTAATTGCCTTAAGCTAGGAGATGTAACTAACATGTCGTCGTAGGTGGTTGGGCCGTCTATTGAATGCCCTACCTCAACTCTCTCTTTGGCTCCTAGTGAATGGTTTTATCACTATAGGACGATAAAATTCGAATATGAATCTATTGTTTGATTGTTTAGAAAAGAGTATTAGTGTCACATTATACGTCGAATTTTATTGACTCTTTATTAACTACTTGATATAATGTTTACCTAATAATTAAGTTAGGAATATAATTTAAAGAATAAACAGTTTTGATTGTTGACCGATTACATAAATGATATGATTTAATTTAATAGTACGTGTCTATGTGCATTGCACAATGAAGAGTTTCAGCTCTTCACCTTTTGTATGATTTTAGTGGCATACATTATAACGAATGTATAGTGAGTGTGAATGTAAGCTATGATATTTGTAGGAACGGTAGACTCTTTAAAAAGTTTTAACTTGATCAACAACACGATATTATATATGTAAAGGAGTTAGATAAGCCGGCCACTTATGAATAATTTAGGTTAATTTATCTCTTTGTGATTTTTTACTGAGCAAAGTCACAAAATGAGATTTATCCGGTACAAATCATCGGGTAGTAGCTGTGGATTTTCCTCGTGATTGAAAAGAAAAAAAGGAGAATCTTTAGTAATGTTGATGGTTACACATTGAAAAGTAACGTCTAAAACTTTGAAATTTTGATGAAGTGTTTGGATTTGTTTGGTCTGAGGTTTGAACTAAGAACGCAGAAAATTCTGAGTTTTACACATTTGAATTGAACATTCTAGTACATGTCTTTTCCTCGTTAGAGCAATTTTGAACTTAATTGACTGCGTTACATGTTATGCTTAATACCTAGTCAACCTATGTAACGAACTTTGAAGTTCATCAAAGACCAGCCAATAGCATTAAGGTCAGGTTTCACTGCTTTATCAGTTAGGTATTTGACTGATTTAAAAATAGAAAGTTGTGTTTAAATTTCATTATCTTTTAATTTTATTTACTCATCATTAATGTATTTGAAATTTACTATAGGCCACCTCTTTGGGTAATAAATATGGAGACCTTATGCCAAAGAAGAAACCTTTGATCTCCAAGGCAAGTTTAATTCGATAATTAATAATATATTGTGAATCCATATATTATATGTGTGCGTGCACGTATGCGTTTTTCAATGATTTTTTAGTGTAGTATTGAAGATTGTAAGGGTTATTGTTACAGGACAATGAACGTGCATTCTTTGACTCCGCAGACTGGGCTTTGTGCAAGGTATTTAATTGCAATCTAATGCTTAATAAACTCAAAGAATTGGAACCCCCAAGTTAGTCGGGCTATTGCTTGGTAACCATAAGGTTCTAAATTCAACTCCAAGTAAGAGTTGTCTATTGACCTTTTTGGTTTGAGCCGGTCAGTTATGAATAACCTAAGTTGGTTTACTTCCTTATGACAATCGTTATGCTGTGCATCCGTATGCACCATGCATGGTGCATACGGATGCCAAAACGACGTCGTTTTATTAAAAAACGCGTGTCTCCCCTTTAAAAAAAATTCAGGTTCGATTCCTAGCAACAACATTATATTGTTCATTCATTCTGCAATTTTAATTAGTTCATAGATTATGGAATTATAGTTCATCGATTATGGAATTGTAGTTCATCGATTCTGAAATTTTAGTTTATAGATTATGGAATTTTAGTTCATTCATTCTGGAATTTTTAGTTCATAGATTAGATTATGGAATTATAGTTCATCGATTATGGAATTATAGTTCATCGATTATGTAATTTTAGTTCATATGTTGTTGCTGGGAATCGAACTTGATTTTTTTTTTAAGGGGAGACGTGGTTTTATTAAAACGACATCGTTTTTGCATCCGTATGCACCATGCATGGTGCATACGGATGCACAGCATAATTTGCCTCCTTATGATCTTTAAGTCACAAAGCAGAGTTTACCCTATTCGAATAGTTGTTTTTCCATTGAGCGACACATACATTAACATTGGTGAAATTTTATTGTGTTTCCCCATCACTTATAATGCAGCAAGGGGCAGGGGTGAACCAGAAATCCGCAGTGGCCATAGAAACACTGCGTCCGAAGTTGCAGGTAATGTTGTCACATGTTACCTTAGTCGATCGATCCGACGAATTAAATGATTGTACTAGGAATAATAGTGGGTCGAATATAATGTTATTTTTGGTTATATACAGAGAACCCCTCACCAGCAGCTTCCTCCCCGAAGACCAGCTTGTACATGAGTACATCTTTGAAGTGACAACCATGTGGATGGGTGTTTTTAAGTCAGTAGTTTGGTTGTATCATTAACACTTACTTTGCTCTTTCATGGAACATTATTTCTTGCAACTCGCCCAATATACATACATTTATGCATGTATGTGATCATGATTCATCATTCATGAATATATATATATATATATATATATATATATATATATATATATATATATATATATATGTAGTTCTCAGTTCTGAGGTTATATATCTGGCCTGTCAAAAGCATTTGAAATGGACCGGGGAATATACTCACCATTTAAGAGGGAAAAAAATAGCGGATATTGATAATTTTATACTGTATAAGGGAGTGAATATTGCACCGTTAAATTAAAAAAAAAAAAAAATAGACCATCAAACTCAGAAAAAAAAATGTAATTAGTAATCAATTTGATTGGGGTGAGTGATCGTGCACTCCCCATAATTGAGCTGATCCGTTGCGAAGGAGATTAGTCAAGTATGGTTGGATTAGATTGAGAAGGTGTTTACAATAAGGGGTGTTAACACTTTGTAATTTATGGGCTTAAAATCCAATTGCTTATATTATTTGCTGACAAGGCACTTTACATGAAAACTTTTGGCTAATATTGTAGCACTGATCTGACGTGGACATACTTAAATCTTTTTTTTTTTTCCTTCACCATCCTCCTCAACAAATTTGTGTGACATTTCAAAATTTTGACAATAATGTGCACTATGAAAGAATTGTGTGGGGACGAGAATCTTCCATCCTAGTCTAGATCAGATCCGCTCACAATAAATCAAAGAAGTGAACACAAATGCTCATAATTTATGCTATTTTTTTCTCTTGTAAAATTGAATTGCGTCATATAATATATGTAATACTTTTTAGTTAAACATAATATTTTTTTTAATACATTTATAAAAAGTATTAGACATTTCATAGTGATACGGTCTCATACAAGACTTATTTTTTGAAAAATATAATAATATTATTGAATAGATAAAGATAGCCATTTTAACAATTGTACCGTCCACCCATATTTTTGAATAGATAAAGATAACCATTTTAACAAGAGCCAATACAAGTTATACTTTTTTTTTTTTTTTTTGGGTGCATACTTGTGAAGTTGTACTTGTTAAAATTATTATAATTTAATTTTTAATGCAAAAAATACTTTTAAACCATTAAAAATTATGTTAGTTAAGTATTACTCCGTAAATACTAAATGAATTTACTTAACTATAGTTACTTTAATATATTACTCACCAAACTAATTTACTTAATTAAATACTATATTAAACAAATATATTTTATTATATATGTAGAGTATCACTTACATATTTAACTAGACAAACTTATCTTCATTAGAAAATACATATAGATAACAAATATATGTAATAAAAAAATACTAATTAAATCTTCTTTATATAAATATAAAAACAAAGTTAATAATTAATTATTTTTATATAATATAGATATAGATTATGTGGTTTGTTTTATTTATCTATTTATTATTTTTAAATTATTTGAATATGATTATAATTTTAATTTTAATTTTAACTTAAGCGTTAATATTGTGCGCTTCTCGTTCATTAATAAATTTTTAATATGAATACGTCTAAGAGCTTGTCGGCAAATTATGCTGTGCATCCGTATGCACCATGCATACGGACGCAAAAACGACTTCGTTTTAATAAAACGTGCGTCTCCGCTTAAAAAGAAAATCAGGTTCGATTCCCAGCAACAACATAAGAACTAAAATTCCATAATCGATGAACTATAATTCCATAATCTAATCTATGAACTAAAAATTCCAGAATGAATGAACTAAAATTCCATAATCTATTAACTAAAATTTCAGAATTGATGAACTACAATTCCATAATCGATGAACTATAATTCCATTATCAATGAACTATCATTCCATAATCTATGAACTAAAATTCCAGAATGAATGAACAATATAATGTTGTTGCTGGGAATCGAACTTGATTTTTTTTTTAAAGGAGAGACGCGCGTTTTTTAATAAAACGACGTCGTTTTGGCATCCGTATGCACCATGCATGGTGCATACAGATGCACAGCATAACTCCTTCGTTAATAAAATGCTTTGGGGAGAACAATTGTCGTGCACACTACCTACCATCCCTCATTTATTTATAAGTTTTGCAACTTTTGAATTCCCTTGGCCATTCCTAATAAAATAAAATAAAAACTTGTTGGTAGAAAAATACTTAAACTTGTAGGTCACGTCATTAATTAACGAATAGTCTATTCAAAAGGGTGTCCTTTTATGGTTGAATAATATAGTTAGGAGATTTTCTACTTTTCAATAACATTGTATATATATATAAAGTCTTTTCAGTTTTTGTATTCATAGTATTCGTAAAAGCAAGATACATATATTTATACTTAATATTGTCGGCATATAATTATCGTTTCATGATATAAAAATTTGACATTAAATTGAAATTTTTTAAAGATACAGATATAATAACGTAGTTGTTACAACAATATAATAAATATTTGAATTGTTTTATCCATCAATAAGCCTTAAAAAATATAATAGAATATTCGATTTGAAATCAAGACAATTTGAGTCCCTAACCTTGCAACCTATGCTATGCTATAAACTTTTCACAAAAGGATTTTAGTCTTCAAGTTACCTTTATAAATGATTTTTTTTTTTTTTTTTTTGAAAAAAAGTCTACAAGTTACCTTTATGGCATGCATTGGGCAATGAACTACTGTACTGTATGTTATATCTTGTAGTTTTAAACTAGCTAGAGACCTGTGTCAAGTAACTTTAATTCCCCAAAGGGCCTCTCACACCCTGGTTCAAAAGAATATTTAAAAAGATATAAGTCATGACGATTAAATGGCTCAGTAAATATGGCTAAATGTCGATGCGCACAAGAGATCTGTCCATTTTAGACATAAACCTTACACTGTTCTTGTCAAGATCCGAACTTTGATCTCTTCTCCCAAATACTGCCTGATAAACTAGTGAGCTAAGCCTCTGCGGACAAGTAATTGTATTAACCGTACATATGGAGAGGGAAACTACCGTTAAGTTGATTGGACAGTTAATTTTATAATTACAAAGTTTTAAGTTTGACTTTCTAAGAAAGATGTCTATTTTTAAGCCGGCCAACTATAAAAAACCTAAGCTAATGTACTTGGTCAATTACAAAACGAGTTTCACCTAAAACACACATTTGGATAGACGTTGCTTTTCGGTAAATAAAAATTATAAAAAATTATACAACAATGTTGTATTTCACATGTCTATGTATATATATGTGTGTGTTTTGGTTTCCAATAGTCAAAATAACCTTCACCAAGAAAGGCTAAGGTTGTTCACTTGCTGCCCAACTCTTCTCTCTTCCAGGTCTTCCATACCCCATCCAATTCTTTAACCCTGCATCGAGCACATCGCCATTTGCCCTTTTTACTCGGAAATTTTAATTTGCTCCAAATAACTTGTCTTACTCGACTGTTAATAATAATCTTCTGCTATAAGCTTTGCTCCCCCATACACATTATATTGTCAATTACTGTTTCTTAATGGCAAAGACCTCGTAATATTCATCCATAATCTCGTAATTTTAGGTAAGCTTTAGATTCCATCTATCTCCGTTTTTTGGGTAAAAAACCTTGTTAGTTGCAGCTAGCATCTACATACCAAACATGCATGCATAATTCCTGCCTTATTAATCTTTGAAACACTAGAATTAGGTAGGTGTGACATGTTTTGCTAATTAAGGTTGTACCTTAGCTTCTGTTTTTAATTTAGTTATCTATATATACAACAACAAGCCAAATCGTTACCAATCCCAGAAAATTAAATGGAATTCTCATCAGCTGCCATGAAACATTGGGTTCTACGTCTAGCATTGAGCTTCATCCTCGTTTCCCATTTCAGATTAGGTAAGAAAAACCGGGATGCATGATTTCTTGCACCAAATAATTAAAACCTTAATGAACATATTATTATATTGTGGTTACGTTTACAGGAGTGGGAGGTGACTATGATCAGCCTCACACGGGTGCCTCCGGAGTTCTTGGGAACGAATATATACCCAGTAATGGAGATTCATCGGAAAATGGAGGCGGCAATGGATATTCATCGGAAAATGGAGGCGGCAGTGGATATTCATCGGAAAATGGAGGCTCCTATGGTCATGAAAATCCAGATTATGTTGTCTCTAAAGCCCTCTTATGTTTCGATGAGAAGAATGTAAGTTCATTATTCTCATTCTGCAACTTCTGTAAGTTCATTATGGCCCTGTTTGATAAAATGGCTGTTAGGTTATAGTCGTCAGCTGTTAGCTAATTGTGTTAATTAGATGATATAAATAGTTGATAACATTAGTTGATTGTAAAAAAGTGTTTGGTAAATTAGCTGTTAGCTGATAGCTGTTTTGTATAATTTCTTTTCTCAAAAAATTAATTGAAAAAGTTGCTTGAAGTAGTTTTTTGAATTTTAGCCTTTTAGAATTGCAAAAAGCTAATTAACCAAATATTTATATTGATATTTTAACTAAATCAAACAATTAATAGTGGTCAAATAAGCCAAAATTGGCGTATAGACCAATTTTTTACCAAATAGGGCCTATATGTATATATTATGTTGTATGTTTTTGTCTTTGAAGGAATTTTAATTTTCAAGAAATTGTGTTGTATATATGAGATGATTGAAATGCATGTTTTTTGCATATATAATGTTGAAGATATATAGCAGCTGTGAGGAAGCTTATAGATTAAGTGCGAGTGGAGAGCTTCATGTGCCACCGGATTGCACAGATGAATTCTGCAATGGAGCTTGCTTAAAAGAAACCGACCTCATCCTTCATTGCATTGAAGCTATTCTTTCAGACTTTGAGTTTTACAACAAGGCTACCATCAATGATGTGAGGCATACTATCAAAGAAGGATGCAGCTATGGCCCTAGTAGAGGTGTGTATGTGTGTTTTCATCTTCCATTGCATTCAAATTCTTTTTGGAAAACAGTTTTTTTTTTTTATTTGGGTCCCCAACCAAGTCAGTGCGATTGTTGATTTGGTAACTGCAAGATTCCAAGTTTGGTAAATAGCTGTTAATTAGCTGATTAGGTTAGTGAGTTTGACTAGTTGATAACATTATTTAGATGATTGTAGAAAAATGTAGGGTAAATTAGCTGTTAGCTGATAGCTTATTACATGCAAAATGACTTTCTCAAAAAAGCTACTTTGAGTAACTTTTTGAATTTTAGCATTTTTGGAACAACAAACTGTTACAAAAAAACTAATTAATCAGGGGTTTTTTAACCAAGTCAAACAGCTAATAGTGACCAAATATGCCAAAATTGACTGATAAGCTAACTATGTTACCAAACATGGCAAAAAACTACTATTTTGTGAAAATTTTAGTATTTGTATGTTATTGTTTTTGTGGGTGGTTATGTATGTTAAGATGATGAAAGATTGTTGACAGGTAATTTTAATGTGGCTGAGCATGTTCAATATGAAGAGAACAATGCATTCCAGGCTTCCAAGGCTGTCTTCCACAACCTTAGTCTCATGTTTTTGGCTCTGTGGTTCTTCCTCTAGAGCTTAATTACTGTCAGATTAATTAGATGAAGAGGAGATCTCAGCTCTGTGGTATTATGTGAAGAAAAAAAAAATACTTTCTATTACATGACTGAAGGTTTTAGAATAGTTGTGATTCCATAACTACTACTAAATAATTTTATTAATTCTAGTTTCATGTTCTTAATATTGATTTTGGAAAGTCATCATATCGTTATTCTATTTGGAATTTTATTTTTATTTTATGTACATGTACTAATATTATATTGTGTCATATGATTTAATTAATACCAAATACATTGTGGTCTAATGGTATCCAGTTGCATTCCTAAGTAGAAAGTGATAGGTTTGAGTCTCAGTGGAGCTGATTAGTAGTTTGGATGTGCCCTTCCCTTGTAATATATAAAAAAATATATGATTTAATTAGTAGAATGATTGATAATTCACGGATAACTAATAAATATAAACATTTTCTGGGCTATACAAATATACAATAGCAAATTAGCAACCCCGGCCCATTTAGTAATTTTATATTCTGTCTTTGTACTGCACACTAAAACGACAACCATTATAGTCGCAAATTATGCTGTGCATCCGTATGCACCATGCATGGTGTATGGTGCATACGGATGCAAAAACGACGTCGTTTTGGTTAAAAAAATGTGCATCCCACTTAAAAAAGAAATCAGGTTCGATTTCCGATAATAGCATTTTTATATGTTCATAAATTCATAACTATATATCCATAAATTCATAACTATATATCCACAGTGAATGAATGAAGTAAATATCTATAATGAATGAACTAAATATCCACAATGATTGAACTAAATATCCACAACGAATGAACTAAATATCCACAATGAATGAACTAAATATCCAGAAATTCATAATATATATCCACAATAATGCTATTGCCGAGAATCGAACTTGAATTTTTTTTTTTTAAGTGGGACGCGCGTTTTTAGTCAAAACGACGTCGTTTTGCATCGTATGCACCATGCATGGTGCATTCGGTTGCATAGCATAACTATTGCATTATAGTGACTTTAGCCAACTGAGTACTAAACGGCAAATTATGGTCCACACAGTGTTACGTAGACTATAACAAAAAGTACATTTTTAATATACTAAGTGTATATTATTTGTGTACTGAATGTACATTATATAATATAACGTACACTCAATAAACAAATAATGTACATCCCCTGAATATAATGTACATTTTTAATATATTAAAAGTACATTATTATTGTACTAAATGTACACTATTTTACAGTATACAAAATATGATCCACACAATAATGATTGGTACTAAACGACAAATTATACCATGGACCTGGGTTGTCTACCTTACATTGTAGACCCTAGTCCAAAAATAACATTCAGATTCTGTATTTATAGTTGACACATTATGTACCTCTAGTTGATAGTTCTTGTACATGTAGCTATCATATTATGTGTCAGCAATTATCAAGTCAGCTTTCGTATCTATAGTTGACACATTATGTACCTGCAGTTGATAGTTTATGTATCTGTAGCTATCATATTATGTGTCAGCAATTATCAAGTCAGATTATGTATCTATAGTTGACACATTTTGTACCTGCAATGCAATATGAATCCTGGTTCATGGTATAACAATTGGTACTAAACAAACAAGAATATATATGTTGGGACAATACCAACCAAGTTAGTCAGATTGTTAACTTGGTAACTACTCGATTATCAATTAGAGCGGCTTATCGGTATTATTGGTTTAAACCAATGGATAACCTATATTAATTTATGAAAAACCTGCCGCCATTATTTAAGTGTGTGCACTGGAAACCTTGTCTTGTGAGTTGTACGTGACCCTAACAAACAAAGTATCCTTGTGACCATTACATTCTAGCCAGTAAAGGCAGATCATAGAAAATGTGAACTACTCCAAAATCCAAATTACACATTCTAGCCTGTAATAATGGCAGATCATCTAGTCTCTACATTATATTGCCAGTTTTGGGTCGCTCTCTAATTCTACTATTATATAGCAACAATAATGATTAAAGTCTCTTGAAGTGCACTTTGACTTTGCTGTTTTGAGCTTAATGGAAGAGTAGTACGTGATAGTGATATTTGGTTGTATGTGGGTTGAAGGTAGATGAAGATGCAATTCAAGTATAGAATTAATTAAATTTGGTTTAATTTGAACTTTGAACAAATAGCGCGCAATAAGGATGTATGTGGTCTAATCCTTCGTTTTGAGTATGGAGCAACCTTAAATTTTCAGGCCAACTGTCACACTCAAAAGAGGTGTTTACAGTCCATCGAGATGATTAGTTATTGTGTCCGACGGTGAAAATCTTGGGTATACTAAAAAATGTAGTATCTGTTCATATACTTTCTCAACCCTCTATTGAAGCTCGGACTCGCAACCTTCCACATGAAAATCTAACCCAGGTACCATTAGACTACATAGTCTTGGTCTAATGGACAAAGAACCACAAAAAAGAAGATTAGCCTAAGTAAGTTGCTTATAATTTATGAGCTCAAACCAATTAAAAAAGTCAATAGTTGTGATTGAACTTCTATTTATGTGCTCACCTAATTGCAATAATGATTAAATTAATTAAGATAAGTACCATCCATCAACCTTAAAGTATGTTGGTTTCTTTCCACAAAACTAGATGCAAATATGGCTTGTTTACCAAAAATGGGGTTATACAATTAATTGAAAATTTTTAATTTCAATTGAAGATAATTCAAAATATTTCACATGCCATGCATATTATGCTTAAAAAAATATTATTCAAAATTTTAAATATTTAAGATAAAACTCAGACATCACCAACCTAACTCGACGCATACACATGCTCATAGTGGTACTCAATATAATTCACTTATTACTAGCATTTGTATATTGATACGAAGAAAACAATTGAAATTCAAACTATAAACTTTAATCTAATTACATATTAAATACTAGCAGATTAAACATTTTCATAAATCAAAAGTTTTGAGGCTGTCAAAAACATTTTCATCGTATTAAAAAAAAAAAAAACAATTAAACTGATCGAAGACATTGAATGATGACCACGTTGCCATGTTGGCCTTTGCTGCATATGAATACAGGTGGAATTTCTTGGACAGGTAAAATTTGTCAGATCACCAAAAAGGGTGAATTGTCTCTTTCACTCTCATAATTTGTTCTTTATTGCCCTACTAAAGTGTTTTTGTTTTTGTTGTTTTTATTTTTTAATAATTTCTTTCAATAACGTGTTAGAATAATATATATTATAAATTACAATAATAAAACTTTTGAGGTAAGATAATGTACTTTATGTGTTAGAATAATGTACATTATAAATTATAATTAAAAATATATATTGCAACAGGTCACGTAAATAAAATATTACGCAAAATAACATCAATTTTGAGCTGTTATCCACACAGCTGTGTGGACAATAACTATTGTCCTCTTGGATCTTGGGCTTAATTCTCCCAATAATGCGATTTCCTTTCCAATACAAGAAATCTCAGTCCATGTACTGGAGTACGACCTATGTCTGCACAAAAAGATCAGAATGAATATTTAACTGAAAAATACTGTGTACTTTCGTTCTCTACTTCAATTTTTACACTTATATTTAAAATTTTAATGTAGATAATAAAATAACTTATTAGTACCTGTCACATCAAGAAGTAAAATTAATCGATGCAGTAAGAATTGGGAGTATATATAATAGAACCCTATTAATCATATTCTTCTAACCCAACACACACACACACACTATATATATATATATATATATATATATATATATATATATATATATATATATATATATAGGGTAGGGTTCCAGTGAGAACATGTGCTTAGGTGAGAACGTGAGAACACATCATGTGCATCCATCTAATATTTTTTAATGGTCTAGATTAGATTAAGTGTGTGCGAACGCGCATTAAATGTGTGCAAACATACTAAATCGCGTTTGCACACATTTAATGCGCGTTCGCACACACTTAATCTAATCTAGACCATTAAAAAAATATCAGATGGATGCACATAATGTGTGTGTTCTCACGTTTTCACCTAAGCACATGTTTTACCTACGTGCAAGTAAAATGTATTACTAATGCAAGTAAAATTTACACTAAGCATTAATACTAAGTGCACCTAACGTTATAACTAGTTGCACTTAACGTTATAATTAGTTACACCTACGTGCACGAATGTTAACAAGGTAAATTACTTGCACTTGTAAGTGATTTTACTTGCAAAGGTGCACTAGCTACTTGCACTTATAACACATTTACTCACACCAAAATTTGAGTTAGTTACGAAAATACCACCGTATCGTTTTTTAAAAAAATTACATCTAATTTATTGATTTGAATACGTGGACAGCTGTAAATGGTTCTTATTTCTCTCCTGGACGACTGTTCGCATTAGAGGGTGCCCTTTATGTGTGTGTGGCGTATACAACAAGGGTTACTCTATGTATGAAAAATTCCACACCTTAACTACCAATCTTCATCAACGTAGTCCCACATCTCTTCAACTTCCTTAGCTCCCTTGCCTTCTTACGTTGTTAAATATCTGCTTACGCCCACAAGATACAAAAGTTGGTTAAGGATCATCAACGTTACATATATACAAAGTAGCTAGCTAGCTACGCATTATTGAGTACGTACTGCAGATCAGATCCCCTCAGCTCACAATCGTCAAACTCTCCGAAATGGGTAGAGCACCTTGTTGTGAGAAGGAAGGATTGAATAGAGGAAGGTGGACCAAAGAAGAAGATGAGAGGCTCATCAACTATATCCATCAAAATGGAGAAGGCTCTTGGAGATCACTTCCCAAGAATGCTGGTATTTTGTTCATTACATATTGCCTAATTACTCATTCATCTGGTTGAAAAAGTAGAGTTTATGATTAGAATTAGGCATTCCCACCAACTTTTTAACTATTTTAAAGGTTTGAAAAATTCAATCTTAGCTTCTTGATGCTATTTCATACTCCGGGGGCCTTAGTCTAGTGAAGGAGAAGTTTCTCTTACTTGCTCTCGACGGGAAGGTGGAATTTGATTCCGATCCTGTAATAAATACTGGTGGTTTGAGTTTAAGAGTACAGTTTGGTGTTGAGTTTGTCTTCAAACTATATTGACCCGATTAATAACTCGAAATAGGTTTATAGGGGTCTAGGATATAATCTGGTCAAGTTAGAAAACTTGGGTTATTAAAAAAAATGGTGATTACATAAACCACTAACAAAATTGAAAAGAATGACCACTTTGAATTTGTACATCTATCTTTGTATGACGTTTTTTTATGTGACATCGTCAATAGTTTACATCCTAATTACAATATAGTAATACTTTCTCAACCTACTAAAATGCAAAGAGCCAATAACACTTTCTCAACCTACTAAAATGCAAAGAGCCAATAACGCCTCCATTGAGGCTCGAACACACAACTTTCCAAATAAAAGTCTAACCTGGGTACCATTAGACCACATAGTCTTGGTAGTTTACATCCTAATTTATTTGCATTATTTGTCTAAAGGTTTACAGAGGTGTGGGAAGAGTTGCAGATTGAGATGGATCAATTATCTGAGATCAGATTTGAAGAGGGGAAACTTCACTGCTGATGAAGAAGAGACCATAGTGAAATTACATACATCTTTGGGCAATAGGTCAGTCTTAATTTTAAATATTATTAATGATACCCCTAAAGGACTGGGACACCATAACCTAAAATGTACATACAAAAATCTGCCACTAACGTACCATTATATATATGGAAAATTGTAATTTATGTCCCTTCAGATCCTCATAAATATGTTAATTATCAATGTTATCCTTAAATTATTAGTGGTGTAAATATTATTTCTTAATTTTTAAAACGTGACATATATTGTTCATTCTTCGAATTATTATTTGTAAGGGGCATAAATTACATTTTTTCATTGGAAGGTTGAATCCCCAACCATAAGAGCCCGACAAAGCATTTGGGAGGGTGTAAATCACGGTGACTTAATGTCTGTGTGCACAAGGAATCTGTCCACTTTGGACATAATTCCTACACCGCCGCCATCGAAGTTCGGACCTTGATCTCTTCTCCCAAATACTGTCCACTGAACCATTGAGCTAAGCATGTGCGGGCATGAATAGTCTACCCTGATGATTGACATTGGTGTTACTGGAGTATAATATGATTGATTATTGCAGGCTATTATAGTATTACACAAGAATATGGTTTACTTCGTGTACGCTCTCGGATAATAGTTGCACATTTTTTCTGGCCATTAAACAAAAATAGTTATTTGTAACCGGAACACACAATTTAAGTGAGTATATTTAAAAAAAAAAAAAAGTGAGTATATTTAATATATTGGATGGATATGTAAATATATTTCAAATTTATTCACACGAATTGTATGAATAATAAATATTTTATCATTTCAAAAATCTTATTTAAAGATGTTAATGTATAATGTTGCAGGTGGTCATTGATAGCAAGTCAATTGCCGGGACGAACAGATAACGAAATCAAGAATTACTGGAACTCTCATCTCAGCCGCAAAATTTACAGTTTCCGGTTGAGCATCAACGCCCCCATGGCGGTGCAAGTGGCGGAGGACGCGGCGGCTGCACGGCGGAGAAGAGGAGGGCGTGTAAGCCGATCCGTCGCCAAAAAGTACAACACCGCATCCTTCCACGTCGCAACCGCGTCTTTTAGAAATAAACACAAGCCCCCCGGCAGTCAAGGATCCAGTTCGGCGGTCCACAACAGCGACGGCGGGACCGCCATTAATGCCTCGGAGGGCTCCGGAAAGGACGGGAAAGCGTTCGCCCCCAAAGGACGCGCTGAAAACGATGTCTTCTCGCCTGAGCCGTGCGACAATCGACAACTTGACTGCCAGGTGTTCGATGAAATGACCCGTGAAGAAGATGCGAGTGGGGCTTTATTAGCAATAAATGGTGGGAGGGGGAGGGGGCACCCTTCGGAAAGTGGTCCTGAGCCGGAGAGTGAAGGCTACAGCGACGGCCAGACTGCAGCAACCACGACCCTGGGAATGTACACTTACCAGTTGCCGGCTCCCGGCGACTCCATCTTCGACGACGACGATTGGGTGAACTGGAGTTTGGGTGATGATGCGTTTCAAGGATATGATGAGTTCTGGGATGGCTTAGATGACATGTTCGCGTGGCCCTGGGATGATAATACTAATACTAATACAGCTAATGGTTCATGAAATACTACTAGCAACCTGCATGGGAAGATGATTGTGTTTGGTAATTGTATGTTAGTTAAGCCATAATTGTGTTTTAGACCCATAATTACTTAAGTTTAACTATAAATATCCTTCTACTGGGGTAAAGGTATCCCTTCCTGTCCACAAAAGGTGAAATTTCTTCGCTCCCAGAGCCCCGCATGACCTAACAAGATAGTGAACAGGTAAATCACGATAATTCAACCGTCTATTAGATGGGAGAACTAATATTGGATGCTTACAATAACTCCACCTAGAAATCAATTGAGTTGTCGTGTAATGATTGCTTCTCTTCTAAGAATAAAGCCAATGAGTAACCAAATAATATTAATTACTCCAATCATATATACCTACCCACTCATCCTCTTTCACCTAATATTATTCGTTTGTGACATTAATTGGTGATATTATCTTCCTAACACCTAAAGTTGACTAAACCTATCACTATCCAATAACACTTCTATTTCTGATACAAGTCTATTGAATCTTTTTAGACGGCTAACTTAGCTTGATAACCACAAACTAGATTGAATTTTGATTATATTCCTTAGCTTGTGAGATCATAATTGTTTATTACCGTTCTCAATTTAAACCGCTTAGCTCTTTGTATTTCTTTGCCTAACAAAAGAAAGTAAATAATTTTAATTTCTTTGCAGGGTCCAAAAAAAAAAAAAACGAATTGAATGAGACAGAAAAATTACTTGTTTTAGCGGAGCAAGAAGGTATGTCCTTGATTGATTTACGTTGTTGAGAGGTTTGAAACGACGTTTCAGAATATTGTGTTGAAGTTGAGTGATTGAATGAGCATGTGAACTATGTTGGTTTGCTGGATTTCCTTGGATCACCAAAACCCTCAACTGTCTCTTTCACTCTCCATATATCCACATATTTGTTTCACATGCATCGAATGCAATCTTTAATTTTCTGTTCAGGAGTTCGTGCAATCATTATTACATGTACCATGCTCAGGTTATTTTAATTTTTTTTATATTATTTTATAACCTGAGAAATTAAAATACATACATTTGTAATTCGTATTTGTGTTAGATATTTATAGACTGACCAAGGCCTTGTGGTCTAATGGTATCTGGGTTGGATTTTTATTTGAGAGGTTGTGAGTTCGAGTTTCAATGGAGGCGTTAGTAATAAAGTCAGTAGCATTCAAAAAAAAAGATATTTGTCGAGAAAGACAGGAAGAAAAAAAAAAAGGTAACGAGATAATTTTTTTAAATATATATAGATAAAGGTGGAAGATACGCTCATCCCTTGCCATCCAACGTGAATATGATGTGTCTCATATTGTCAATATGATAGTGTAAACTCGGGATTACACATCCTTCAGAAGTGAATAGCAGGAAGAAAAAAAAAAGGTAACGAGATAATTTTTTTTTACATGAAATTAAAACTAGAAAAGAATATATATATATATATATATATATATATATATATATATATATATATATATATATATATATATATATAAGTTGGCATGGTACAAGTTGGGAGAAGAATTTCACTCGTATTATTGGACATTTATGTTGGTCATCATCATGACACGTGTAAGTTGTTGATGTGGCGATGACTGGTGAGGTGAGAATAGAACAGACCTATCTAGCAGTAATGGTCGGGAAGTCCACTGATGTCTAGGTCGACAAGTCTACTATTACAAAGGTCGGTAAGTCTACTAACATAGAGGATGACACGTCTACTAACATCTAAGTCCAGAAGTAAACATCTAGACCCTCCAGGTTAGGAAGTGCACATGTAAATCATGTGGTCGAGAAGTGTATTCAAGTCACATCTAAAAGGACCATCTAAGTCGGGAAGTAAACCATGTAAAACAAGTAAAGCTGCCCTATAACACCAAGGTGATCCGTCACTAAAAAGTAAAACATTGCATCCTTCCACGTCGCTAGCTACCGCGCGTCTTCTCTTCTATAAATAAGTACAAGGATCGATCCAGCAGCCCATGCACGGCGTGCCAAAAACGACTTCGATGTGGGAAATACCATTAATATAATGCTTTGAATGGCTCGACCATGCAACAGCAACATTTTTTTTTTATCGTCCTCGATCGGCAAAAAGGACATGACGAAAATTTTTTCGAAGAACGTGGCGGAGGTAGGGAGAGTTTCCCATCCCCACCGGGGATGAAGATTGTACCCCGTCCCAATTAACCCCAAAATATATATTGTATTATACTCCGTATTATATTAATTATTAATTATACACAATAATCATGAAAATAAACTTAAAAACCAAAATCAATGAAACTTAATTATCTGATGTGACATTTATTGATATATTATAACCTATGAAACTGAATGATGTATAAAAGGGAACACATGTATAAATCAAAATCAAAATCAATGAATGATGTATAAAGCAGGAGGTTTCAAAAACAGGAAAATAGATAGAGGGGGTAAGAATATAGCACAGGATGACAGGAAGAATAATATGTATCCTGGATTTTGCAGTCCAGCAACATCAATTCCATCAAAAATAACTTAACAAGGAAGATCAAGGCAAACTTGGATCAAGATTTCCAGTTTGTTGATGACAAAACCGCGCAAATCTGTGTAATCCCAACTGAAATTCTTCATTTGCAGGGAGAAATGCTTCAGTTTCAAAGAACCAGCAAGTCACTAACCACTTCATCAAGTCGAAAGATGAGAGCCCTTTCGATCAGAGGGGCAATTCTAAGCAGAAATGCTCGAGTTTCATCAAAGAACCAGCAAGTCACTGATCACTTCATCGAGTAAAGAATTCAGCAGGCGGTTTTCGACCTGTAATCCCAGTTCGAACGCTTCAATTTCGAAGTCCATCCATTTCCCACGATGCGTGCTCATGTCCTTGTCCACGAGCTCATCCACCATCGAGTCTCTCATGCAACTCCACCCCGATACTTCCCTGTACACTTCTTCTGCCAGACGCTCTTTTCTCGTGATCACTGCCACACCCTTTACCCACATGTCGTATCCACCACCCACATAGCTCGTGCACATTGACTCGAGGCACTCACTCACACAATCGAACACAACTTTTCGTTGTAATTTCTGCTCACGCCCCCAGCCATTCGCCACCTTTCTACTTTCCAGTTGATCGAAAAGGCGAGGATTTATTATCTTACTATCTCTGCCCGTTGCAAAACCCTCGAACATCAAATCAATATTACCAAGAATCTCCTTCACATATTCTAGCCCCCATTCTGGTGATTTCCCATATTCAATGACACTGGAAGTTGAAGAAGCTGAGTCTAGTAACTCTGCATCGGCTTCCCTGGAATGGAACCTCTTCAGTGGGCTTATCCCAATCACTTCTTGAGCTTGAATTGATGAACTTTGCTTACTACCTGGAATTCATAGCGTAAAGGTTAAATCTTTTTACATGATTTGTTGTGATCTCGAAAGTAAATAGTTCGGGTAGTAGGAAAGGAGCCTACTTGGTGTAGTATTACTGTCAGTATCTGAATAATTGCAACTTTCGGAAAAATAAGAATGCTCAAGAACAGATACTGGGCTTGGGAATCGACGATCAAACAACTTCTTCATTTCACCCCTGTTGCTGCTATACTGGTCCATTCCTTCAACTGCCTAAAGAGTCAAAATAAAATCAAATCAAATCAATGGAGGAAAGTTCTCAGAAACTAGAAGAAACTGTTTAAAGAAAATAGGTGAAAGTGGGAGACTAAAATATACCTGTCGCTTGTGCTTCATAGTCAGTTCTTGAGAATCGGTAGAAGAAAAGACAAAGTGATGTTGGCTAACTGGATCATCGATGTCCATTGGATCTTGCTGACTGTTTTCATGCAAAAAGGTTGTCGGGGTTAAGGCACTCTGACCAGGTGTCAGAACTTGAAAGGTCGACACAGTAGTCTGAAGTGAAGGTTCCACTTTCTCGGTAAGTTCTCGAAGCTTTTGCTCCAAAAGAGTGCTTAAATCGTTACCTCCAATGCTATCATGTCCTAATGGTAACTTCAAACTATTGAGTCTATCGGGGGAATGATGATGCATCTTTTTACTTCGATAATCTGCATTAAAATCAGTAGATTTTTTCTCCATAGAACGTGCCAAGGGAGCATTGAATGTAAACGAAACTATGTCTGTCCCTTTCCATTTGCTGCTTTCAGCACAGCTACCTTCCCTGTCCATCAACCCACCAGATTGAAAGAGTTTTCCACTTTTATGAATAGAAGAGACATTACCCAAAGTTGGATTTTTCTCGGAATGGAAATCGCCATCTATAGGCCGTTTTTTCCTCACTACACTTTTTTTGCTGGAGAATACTTCTTCCTTTCTGTCATTGTTGAGTTCTAAACTCAGCCTCCTTGAACTAAGTTTAGAGTTTTCGGCGTTTTTAGTCGAACCCTTCTGTCGAGAAAAAGAAGAATCCCCGGTGAGTGTTCTCTTTCCTTGTGAGCTAGAAACAAGAGGCTTTGAAGGTGACTTTCCTCTATCAGCAAAGCAGTTCTGCTTTTGATTGTTCTGCCGAAGAACATTAGGTGCATTAATAGCAGATGGTTTCTTGTGAATATTTCTTTGTGCAACTGGCTGGCTTTTGAAAAACTCGTCACATGATTCTTTCTTTCCGCTAGGATTCAATCCCTCCCGTTTTTGTACATTTGCCTTTGCTTGTAGTGCTAGTGAAATAGACTTCCCTTTAGATTTCGTTCCACCAAAACTTTCTTCTGAGTCTGAAGGAACTCTCTCCCGTGTTTTATTTGCAGAATGTGCCTTGAGATATTTGGTGGCATTAGTTTCACTTGGCCTTCGAGAAGTCGGTTTTTGAGAAGCTTCAACTTTCTCTTTCAAATCTTTTACTTTTAGGGGACCTGAAGAGCTTCCAACCGAGGGCATTTTTGTTCTGGCTGTAACCTGAGGACCGGGCTCGATTATCCTAGCAGCTGCTTCCATGATATGAGCAGCATTCTCGGGAGGGATAAACGTGGCACTCTTGATTGGGGACAAAAGCTTGTGGTGAGTTATCGGGATTGATTTAGCAGACTTAGGAGGCAAAACCTCGGTTTGGAACTTCTCAATTGGTCTGCTGATCACCTTCTGATGCTTTGAATCCAACTTTGAATACTCGAGATTTCTCGAGTGCCAATATGGCCCTTGTCGAGACTGTGTATCTGAAAACGGAGTAGAGTAAAACTCCGAGAAGTTCGATGGAGGCAATGGATCCAACCCCATAAGCCTCGCTACTACCCCGGGAGCTTTCACACCGCACTCTTCCTCATCGGTCACCGATGAGGCACAACTATAGCTACTACTTCCTTTAAAGCTCGAACTCGCATTTATCTCGTCCTCATCAATCTGGACCAAAGCATAAGTTCGTTGGAAAAATCAAAACGAAAAAAAAAAAAAAAAAAAAGGGAAATATATCATTCTAATTGTACACTGACCAGATGGTATCTTGTCATTGGCAAATTCCCGTCGCATCTCTTTTTCTGTTTGGAATGCTCTACAAGAATCATGGAACGAAAACTATACTTGTTCAGCCACCCGAGCAAGATCAAAAGAGGCACATTAAGGACTGAAAAGAAACATATTTTTCGACCCTACCTGGTGAATCAGACTTGCTCGAAAACAACTTCTTTCGTGATTTTGCATTCCAGTCAAAGAGTTGAAGGAAGCCACCAACATAACCTCCTCCCCTCTTGGAACCATGTCGCTCTGCCCCCATGCTCGACGTAGAGATATCAAGAAATTTTCAGCATTCCCAAACTCGCACAACGCTCTGCAGATTATTTAAATACAAGAATTTGATGGATTCGAAATGGTATTAGAAACAAACTTGTGGAATTAAATAGAGCAATACATTTCACACAGAAAACCATAAAAGAAAGGAGATTATAAACAAAAAGGAAAAGGAATTTCAAAAGTCACTGAATCATTCTTACATTTCATACATTGAGATTATGAATCATTCTTACATCAAATTGAAATTCTTTATTAGCCAACTTTTCACTTCTTATGCTGGGGCAGTAATCAATACTGGCTTATACTTAGACCCTAGATTCATCACATTAATAAGAGTTCTCCCTCCAGCCCGAATGGGAAGCTCAGTTTGTTCCTGGGTGGTAGATTGTGGGCCCCAGGCAATATTCCTACAACCTAACAGTTCGTTGAGTCACCGTAATTTACCCATCCACTATCCCGTCGACCCGGTGTGTGGAGGCCAAGGGATTTCGCCTTTTGTGGGCAAAATTCTCCCTCCACTCTCTAATTATCATATCCTATTAGCATGACCAGGATCCAGTCAAGATCTTTCTTAAAGCTGCCTTAACTAAAGTTAATTGTACCAACCCCACCACAAAACAAATTATTCCGTTCTTTCCACTACATTAACCTAACAAACAGCACATAATTGATGAAAACCAAAACAAAAACAAAAACAAAATTATCCATGGCATAATTCATTTCCAACATGGTAAATTGAGATACATGTTCTTAAGAAGGATGAATTTTTTTTACCAAAAAGATTCAAGCTTTATTAGGTTTCCTGTCTTATCCCATGCTTAACAATTAAAACTAAAGGCATTAATGATCAAAACTAATCTACACCTCAGCAAGAGCTAAGCAAAGCATTCAAACTCCGACAATAATCAAGCACAAAACTTTACTCAAACAACACACAAAACCCAGGAAATTTATTATTTAAAAAAAAAAAAAAAAAAAAAAAAAAAAAAACCAGAAATCTCAAATTCAACCAGAGATGCATAAAATTAACCAAAACGAAGAAAAAATAACATTACCCAGAACAAACCAAGATCTGCTGAGCTGTGATTCCGCTTCCCAGAGCAGCAAGAACCCAAATTTATACAGAGGCAATCGGGTAAAAGAAGTTTTGAGCTTGAAGGGTTACACTGAAATGGAGTGTTTGCTCGTTGTGTTGTGGTTATGTTGAGTGGTCGCTGCAAAAAGTTTCGAAGCATTAAATAAGTGGGACAGAAAAATAAATTGGGAAAATGAGAAAGATTGGCGTTTAAAATTGTTTCGAAAAATGCAAATGATTTTAATTTATTGTTTATTGCAGAAAAGGTTAAAATTTTCTAACGTCTCTTTGTTGAGAGGGAGAGAATTCAAATTCTGAATGCACCACGGATGGGGTCCACTCCGCCGTGGCTGTGTTTCCATGCCTTGCGGTGCACGATTGGATCGTGAGTCTACCAATGGTTTCTTCTAGCAACGGATAAATTTTGAAAAAGTCAAACGTTAAAATTTCAGAATTCAGAAATGGTAAATCACTAGGTAGTCATTTTATTTTACCCTATCCGGAAAATTATGAGAAGAAAAAATAAATAATTATCTCAAAAATGGTGGCTAGGTGATGGGATATGATTCTCGTAGTAAAAAGTTATTAGTTTCGTTTTGTCAATATATTTTCAATCAAGTCTGTTACACATGGTCTTCCTAATGTGATTTACCTTCATTATATGGGTTGCGGACTATTTACATAAGATCAAGGTATTGATTGCAAGTTTTTCTCGTCATTAAAAAAATTGTTTAAGCCAAAATTTGTTTAATTGAATATTACTCCGTATATGAAGAATTGATAATACTATGGCCTTGTTTGGTAAAATAGTTAGCATATTAGCTAATTTTGATTCATTTGACCACTATTAATTGTTTGACTTGGCTAAAAAATCAAAATACAAATATTTGGTTAATTAGCTTTTTGTAACTTCAAAATGCTAAAATTCAAAAAGCTGTTCAAAGTAACTTTTTCAATTATTTTTTTAGAAAATAAATTATACCAAACAGCTAACAACTAATAACTAATTTATCAAACATATTTCTACAATCAGCTAATGTTATTCAATTAGTTATACTCTCTCTCTAACTAACTCAATCAGCTAACAACTAAAATTGATTTACCAAACAAGCCTATATGTATCAAAATATTTTTTAAATTAAAACTTTTATCTTGAGATGTGATTTTAAATGATTATTAATTAAATCATGGTGGTGGGGTTGTATTTAATTTTGTTTTTAAAAAAATGTAGTGGGGCCACGCCACTTCCTATAGATCAGAGAACATTCAAATATCCTTTATGTTTAATGAGCATGGAACAAATAATTGATTTTTTGATGATTTATATGCCAACTCATCAATACATTGTGACAATTTTAAACATGGTTGCAATAGGCGCTAGACGCTAGTCGGGCGATAGAGTAGCGCCTAGCGCCTAGACGGTCTAGGCGAGGTCTAAGTGGCCTAGGCGGCTAACTGAAAAAATGAAAAACAGTGCAAGTTGTTTAGGTGCATATATGTCATATTATACATATATACATACATACATACATATATACATAGGTGCATATATGTCATATTATACATACATACATATATACATACATACATACATACATACATACACACACACACACACACACACACACACACACATATATATATATATATATATATATATATATATATATATATATATATATATATATATGTCATTGAAAAAAATTAGCAAGGTCGAGTCGGTCGGGTTAACTCGGCTAACTCGACAGAAATTGACGAGTTAACTCGGCGTAATCGGCCGAGTTAGGCGCTAGGCGGCCGAATTAGGCGCTAGGCGGGCGCTTAGGCGGCCGGTCTCCTAGGCGGGGGAGCCTAGGGGAGAAATCGCCACGGCCTAGGGACGCCTAGCGCCTAGGCGCCGATTACTCGGTGCCTAGGCGGGATTTTTACAACCCTGATTTTAAATAGTTCAATTATAATTAGTACAATGCATGCATAAACCCTAAAATATCTTATAATTAATTTTTATCTTTTTTGTTTATGAGTATAACTCATAGCTATTATTTGACGTTGTGGTTGTGTATTTGATAAATTATACTCTTATTTAATAGCATGCAAATTATATAGAAAAAAACTAGTCACACTATAAAAATCTTGTGCAACAGGCTCAACCACAAAGTATTGATAAGAATCGAATTTAATTTGTGAACTCATAACTTACAAGTTTAGTTTTATTATTACTAGGGTATGTATAATTTAAAGCTCTCACAACATAATCAGATTACAAATTTTCTGGCAAATACGTTTGAATTGAAAATGTTTCAATCCGTGGATCAAATTTTGCAGAGATTTTAAGTGACTTTACCTGATTAATTAGTGGTAAACTAATTACAATTAGTAATCAATAAATATTGAAGATTATGTCACTTATCACTTGTCACCATACTTCATTAATAAGATACTACCCTTTGTCATATTTTAATTTATTGTTTCCACTATTTTCCTTTTTAATTCGTTCCGAAAATAATATCAAGTTTATTTTCTAATTTAAACCGCTATATAATTAAGGGTGTGTTTGGTTCGCACATGAGAATCGGAATCGGAATGGGTATCAAATACTTGGTAATGGTAATGAGTTTTGGTGAAAGTATTTTGCATGTTTGGTAGTAGGGTGGAATGGGAATGATTATCAATATTGCTGTTTGATTATGTATGAGGAGGAATAATAGAATGAAACCCTTATTTTATTAGGGAATGTGTTTTTCAATTAAGGGGTAATCAAAACCCATAGTAGTGTTCTAAAAACCTGTCAACCAAACAAATAACAATGATTTTGATACCCATTCCTGATAGCTAAAACTGTCAACCAAACACACCCTAAGTTAGTTCAAATATCATCATATATTCTTTACAAACACCCGAAAAATGATAATTTTTCCTATTAAAATTACTACATAGTATCACTACTTGTCATGATCTTGATTAAAAACAACACCCGAATTGACTAACTGATCAAGTATTATAAGTTAATAGAGATTAGAGAGTATACATAATAATCAAATATATAAAAATATGCCTAAGATAGAGTAGTCAGGTGGAGAGAATATAATTATCGTACATAAAAATAATGTGTTTGATTCTTGTCAACACTTTTATAATTAGTCGAGCCCATCGCAATATCTAATATAATAGTAACACGTTATATAATGAATAATATTTTGTACTTGTATGATAGTGCAATATGGCTCACCCATCTATGATCTATATAACTTTTTTTTTCAATAGCCTTTTGAATAATATTGTACTAGCATTATTGTTAATTAATAAGGTTAGCATTATATCGAGGGATGATATTAACTACGATTGTAATTAATATGCATTTAGGCTAGCCGATCTTTAAGGGAATAGACATTAAAGATAAACAAAGAGGTTTCAAAATTGATTCTCCTTGTACCTATAAAGAAGATCGAAGAAAATTACATAATTAACCAAACTAGGATCTGCTAGCTCTACGAGAATTAAACAAGGAGAGAGGGAAACGAACTAAAAATAACTTCCAACGACCGAGGGTAATATCGCCCAAGGGAAAAAAACTGTTTTCATACAAAATTAATATTCATGCACCATGGTGAAATATTTGTTCTTCAACCAACGAATTCTGTCGGACAAATTAAAGAATCTTTTAGTTTTCTTTCGACGCCGTAGGCCTTGTAAACCGCCACTCTTCGGTTTGTCTTCCTCTCGGCGTTTCTCCAGCCAGCCGTCTCCGGGCACGGCGACGGAGCTGATGATGGTGCCATACGCCACCCAACGTGATTGCGTTGAGGTTTCTGGACCGGTTCGAACGTTTGACCATCCAAGAAGTCGGGCATGTTTGCCGCCGACCAGAATGGATAGTTCACTACTGGAAATTATGAAATTTTCGACCACCTGTGATCTTAAATCAAGTCGAAAGTCTTGTTCTGACCACTTTTGATATCCAGAAAAACCTTTGTTGCTATTTACGACCACTTTTTGCTTTCAAATTGATTTAAGATTACTTTCATGTGGTCAGAAATTCCATAATTTCCAGTAGTGGTTATTCATCTCTCTCGCTCTCTCACCTCCTCCCTTATTTCCGCGCTTGACCAATCGGATGTAGATTGGGTGTCGCCGGAGAGAATGGAGGAAATGACAAAAGCAACAGTACTATAAGAGGATGTGTTTAAGGTTGTTTTATATATGGGGAGGTGGAATGAAGACAGTTAAACGGATAGAATGAATGGTTTAATTGTTTAAAATGTAAAGAATAAATGTCGTACGTACAACATATATAATATTGTAATAAACATAATAATGTAATTGAATGAGTGAGACATAATTAATAAACTGTAGTTGTGGGTTTAATTTCCTCATTAAAAAAACATAATAAATGTAACAAGCAACTTCAGTAAATAAATCTATTAGGACGCTACATAATGGATTTTTCATATACAAAGACAATTATTTTAAAGTACTAATTGATAGGTACACTGTATCATATACAGTTATGTTATTTAGTTGGCTTGCATGGGTAGCTCAATTGGTCATAGAGGTGAAACTTTGAAAAAATGATCAGGTTGCTCCCAAAGTGAGGGGGCCGTTGAGTTATCATGATTTACATCATCCTAAATACTCTGTAGGGTTGGGGTTCAGCCTTTTGGAAGAATGTTATTCACCGAATATGGTTGGGAGTCTTGGGACAAATGTCACAACTCAAATATTATATATAAATTGTACTTTGTGTAAAAGCCATATATGTTAATCAACATCGATCTTATAAATCCCTATAAATCTATTATTTTGTTTAACGGAGAAAAATAATGAATTGACAATTTGGCTCTAAAAATTCTATCATGTGCCACATATGTGATTGTTTTCGTTAATATTTCACTATTTATTTTGTTAGAGATTGATCAAAATTAATAAGAATTTAATTTAGCTCGTGATTTTTTAGTACGAGAGTCATGTTTCGCTTATGGTCATCTATTTTTATATGATAAGATAGTTTTTAATTAAGTTGGTTAAATTAATTGAGAATATCGTCCTATATATGATTATGTTTCGTTGATTACAAGACAGTGTACAATGTCGTTATTGGTTGGTAAGTTTATTAGGCCTGATCGGATTGCACATTAAGTAAATTAAATGTAAAGCCTTAGATGAGGGCTGGGTGACTAGAGGATCTTTTAGTTGATCATATGTTTAATTCTCTGTAATCTTATGATGTGACTCAAGCTTCAAGAATATTTAGTTACGTTACCTTAGTTTGTTCCTATATGATGAAAGTGAAAACCTCAAGGCAAAATCTATGAAATGGCAGAAGACATGATTACCAGTGGTAAGGGTACATGGTACTGGTGGCACTCCTATGATCAATTGAGATGCCCATGCGAGCAGCATTGCATATATATAAATACCGTGAAAGAAGTTAAGGGTTAGTTACGAGTTTGCATATTTTGAATTCTCTCAAAGTAACAGACACTCTTAAGTGTTCAATCAATTGTGTTGGCCAATCATCGGAAGGTCATTAAATCAATAATACTAGTTAACTATAAAATAAGAGAAACAACATATATCATCAACAAATTTCATCTACCAACCTGGATAGATTGAAAGTTACCTTACCATCTAAGGGTCTCTCCACTTAGCGGTACACCAGGTGAAATATCTTGTTTGGTAGACCACAAATTTTTATTTATAACATTATACTATGATATCATCAACAATTTTTATCCAACAACCTCATTAGAAGGAAAGTTACCTTACGATCTAAGGGTCCCCTACTTAGCGGTATGTTGTAAAATACAAATTTTATTAACTTGTGTAAAAGATAAGCTAAGCGTAGGTCATATATATTGTGTATAGCATTGTACTATGCGATATATGTAGGGAATGATGATTCAAGGATGCATTCAAGTGATGGGCACAAAACACCAATGGGAGTTGAGAAAGGAGTTGAAGAACATTAGTTGGTGATTTGCAATCTTCTTGGGCGAATCATTAATCGACACCGCAAGCCGACCGTACGTGAATGTGGCTTTGATGGTCACGTCCGGAACAGGTTACATAATCCTCGGATAGGGCAGCAGGCCGGGCTTTCACACCACCAACCTATGTCTCCCTTTATGCAGTTGTTTCATGTTGGAAACCATTCCATACTTGTCTATTTACACCCGGACTCTTTGTAACACAAAGAGAGCTGTCTTCTTAGCTTGTCCATATACAGGGCCTTCAACATCCCTTAAAAACGTGTTTAGTTTATGAAATTTTTAGGAAAGAGTTGAATTCAAAGTTGAATTGAAACTTAGGGAATTACAATTCCATTCTTACATAATTTCGAAGGTAAATAAATTCATTCGTTTGTTTGGAGGGAATTAAAATTTCCTCATCTTCAATGAATTAGAATCTCATGTCCCCTTGGTATTTCAATTCCATGGATTTTAAGAAGAAAAAAAAATAACTTTGAAACAAAATTACCCCCCTCTTTTTTAAACTTAAAATTGATGTTTGACCTCTCTCTTTTGATTATAGCGTGTCTATTCTTCTACTTTCAACACAGGATGTCAATTAGTAGTCCAACCCCAATCAAATATATTTTCTCAAAACTCTAATCTCTTATCTATTTGATTGCTTTTGTATTTTAGGGTTTACTTACAATGTGTTACATAAAATTTCAATACAAAAAATTTGAATTTGGTCATTTAGGATTTATAATAATAATAATAATAATAATAATAATAATAATAATAATAATAATAATAATAATATTATTATTATTATTATTATTATTATTATTATTATTATTATTATTATTATTATTATTATTATTATTATTATTATTATTATTATTATTATTATCTTTCAATACTCATGTATACCAAACATTATAATTGAAATTCCGAGTAATTCTATTCTTGTAAAAACCAAACACTGAAATTTAAATTACCAATTTATTCCCACATTATTCTTCCCCATTGAATTGCAATTCTTTTCCCATCTAAGTCTCTCCCTCCAACCAAACGTCCCATGAGTGGTTTGTCAGTAGGTCTCGAAAGGATACTCGGCGATGGGACCCTAGGGTTAGGTTGCAAATGGGTTGCATGAGGAGGGTTAGGTTGCAAAGTTTAACTCCTCGTTTGAACTTTTTTTTGGTGTTGGGTCAAGTATTGGGATCCAAATAGTCAATCCTTGAGTGGTCAGTTAGTAGGTCTCAAAAGGGATGCTCGACAATGGGATCCTCGGGTTATTAGGTTGCAAATGGGTTGCTGAGGATGACTTCTATACGTATAATAAAAAGGGGTAGATTGATAAGATTTGGGAGCAATGATCAAGATTTAGGTTATTTGTTTCCTTAATGAAATAGTTTATTTTTTTCAAGATTTGGAAGGTAATTTTAGAATTTTGGTAAGTAATAGGTAGCGCCAAATTTGGCAAGAGATTTGGTGGTTGAAATTTAGGAGATTCTTTTTCTTATTTCACTGAGTGTCTATCTATAAATACTTTAAAAGGTGAGAAAAGAGTTTCAAATTCTTTCGAGTATAAGGCATTTTAAGAGCTTTTTACTTTGATTTCTTGAGTTCTTAATTTACTTTGTTTCTTTATACTGTTCAAACGGTTGTGTTGGCTAGTCGTCGACTAGTTATAGGTCGTAAAAAAATCACTCAGGTTTGAGCTGATGGGCAACATAGCCAATAATTTTGGGCTGCCTCATTATTAGAGAATGAGAGTATAATGTAAGATTAAGAAGAGTATGTAATCATTAGCTTTAGGGTATTTGTTTAGTGAATGAGAAACATCGCTTAAAACTTACTTCCAAAGGTACGGTAGGACTTATTGTACATCATCATGAGCTGAAAACTGAGTTATTAAAAAGAAAAAAAAAAGACGATATTACTTGAACATGATCTTATCAGACTGATCTGTTTAATTGGCTCGTACTTCTATATTTTTGAGTTAAAAAAAGAAAAAAAGAAGGAGATAAGTGTATGTAATCATCATTTTCTGTCCAAATACATCAAATTAAAACTTTCATTCAATTCCTTTTAAAAATTGAGGGGGGGACTCCCCTAGCTAGTCTCAAAATGGCGTAGTACTACCAAGTACTCACTTTGTAACCTAGTTTCCTTTTTCATTTTAGGTCATGACCAAACTTTGATCGACACATGCCCCTAGTCCCCTACATCCTCGGATAAGATAAGGTAGTCATTCAGTGCTGTTTTTGCATGTGTACACACAGACATGCATACATATATATAATGAACAAACATAAACATAAAAAAATCCGAACTACATATCTTTAAGACTTTAACTTACACTTTGCCACTGTTGTCTCATATCAGTGTGAAAAGCATAGATTGTACCTCTAGATAACATTTTAGGGTAACACGTATATTGTACCCACATCAATAATTTTAATTTTAACATTTTTTTTTTTAGCGAGAATCAGTGTCGATAATACCGAATACAATTATGTATACTATTTTTATTGTATTAATAATTTAACGAATTGGTACCAATAGTATACACAGTTGTACCCGTACCCAATACTATTGTCTTTGAATGCTCATGGCTCTATTACATTGTAGTATCTGTTCAAATATGACCTCCCATATAGGAGAGTCACTACATGCCATCTGAGCACAATGTGCTTGGCAACTTAAGGCTATTGGTAGGCTTTGATTTCCCCGCTCTTTTCTCTCTCCTGATGGGCCCCACTAAAAACCAATGCTTGCGGTAATACAAACCCACCAAAAACCTTATTTCTCCCTTTGTTGAAAAACCTTTTCACCAGATTTGAATGCAAAAATCACTTAAAATCTACTATTGTGAATGCTCTAATAGCTCGAAAAGGTAAATCATGACATTCTGATACGATAATTATACTCCACCTACTTAACTTTAGGCCTGGCCTGAAGTAACATGTTTAAACTTTATGAATGCATGTCACGTAAATTAAAGCTAGCTAGGCCCTATCAATCTGCATGAACTTATGTTTCTTTCATATCCTATAAATTCTTTGGCGATTAGAATTGGCCTCTCACCTGCACACATAACACCGTTGGCAAAACATACAATTAAACATCTAAAATAATGTCAGATAGTTCTTCATCATCAGGGGAGAGGATGTTCATCGGTATTCCGGTGACAAACCGCGGCCAACTCCCTCCGACAGTCCTCCGACCTGGTACCGACGGCGGCGGCGGCGGCACTAAGAGGTTCGAGTGCCACTATTGCCGCAGGGGCTTCGCCAGTTCCCAGGCACTGGGAGGCCACCAGAACGCGCATAAGAGGGAACGCCAGCGTGCCAAGCTCGCCCAGTTATCTGCGGCGGCCGGCGAGCACCATCAGCGGCACAGATTGGCTGCCCCGACATTATCAAGGCCGTCGTTTGTCGTGCTCGACGGTATTTCCGCTTGGAATCAGCAGATACGCTCGGTGGTACCTTTGGGATATCCGGCAACTACTGGTGCCGCCGGATTTCACATCGGCAGGTCGCCGGTGACGGTGATGGCGGCTTTTCCAGCTTCAGATTGTAGGGATAATACTATGGATAGCCCTGCAAACTTTGCAACAAGTTCAGAGGTCGACGGCGGAGTTGGCATTGATCTTCATCTTCGACTTGCACCACCCTGATTGATTAAATTAAAATGATTTAGCATTGAGAATCCCTTGGACTTTGGTCAAGATATGATATGATGTCATGGTGTGTGATGTAATAATTTGGCTCATCATATTAATTTACAATGATGAACTCAATATATTAAAGAGTTAATACCTAAAATGGTCCCTCGATTATGTCATAATTATCAATTTGATCCTCAACTATCATTCTTACCCAATTAAGTCCTCAACTATGTAACTTTTACTCAATTAAGTCTTCAACTATACAATTCTTACCCAATTTAGTCCTCAACTATACAATTCTTACCCAATTTAGTCCTCTGTATTAATTTGACTGTTTGCTGACTGTCAAAAGTCGGGATAAAATTATAATTTTACAAGATTTCTCCTTCCTCTCCATTTAGCAGCGCCAAACCATGCAGCAATACACTCCGATCAGATTTCGATCGTCAAAAAATCGTTGAAAATCAAATTCATGGGCTATCCGATGCACAACCACTACTTCGATACTGACAGGTTTAGAACCCAATCGGAGCTTATTGCTACATGGTTTAGCGCTGCTAAATGCGGAGGAAGGAGAAAACTTGTAAAATTACAACTTTATTTCCACTTTTGACAGTCAACAAACAGTCAAATTGACAAAGGACTAAATTGGATAAAAATTGTATAGTTGAGGACTTAATTGGGTAAGAATGATAGTCGAGGACCAAATTGGTAATTACGACATAGTTGAGGGATTATTTTGGGTATTAACTCTATATTAAATTTATGAACTCAATTTGTCCATCTTATCAACAATTATTAAAATCATTATTCAACTAGAGGATCAAATTTTTAAAAAATCATTATGAACTTAAATTTTAATGTTTATTAAAATGATATTTAACTAGATGATCAAATTTTTAAAAAATCATTATTCAAGAGACTATTTATGATTAAATTGAAATTCAATAACAAATTTTGATAAAGGCAAATAGTCCAGTGACTTTTATGGTCTAATTGAAACTCGAAAGATAAAAATTGACAAATAACAAATTAACAATAGTCAAGAGATCATTCTGGGAATTAACTCCAAAATAAATTATCGCGTCACAATAAGTTTGATAAATTATTGCATCTGTGACCTAAAAAAGAAATTTATTAGAGCAATCACTATGGTCGAACTCAAATAATATAATTTTTTTGTGAGGTGTGTCAAGTTAACAAGAGGAGTCAAATTAAAATATAAAATAATCAAGATTACAAGCCTAAAGTTTCAAGTAGCGAAGTATAACTTGCATGCATGGTACTAACTCAATTCACTGTTTATAAAAGGTTGAATCTTAACCCCAAAAATACCCTTCTCCTCTCCGACAAAACATTTAGAATGATAAAAATCATGGTAACTCATCAGAACACATAAATTAATTCATAATACTAATTCAATTCATGAAAATCATGGTACTAATTCAATTCATGAACTTAAACTTAGACCTTTTGAAGTAACTTGATCAACATGACTCTATTCATACAAATTAAAAATAAATATAAAATAATTGTTTAAAAAGTTACGTTACTTCTAAAAGTTACACATTTATTAAAATCAAATGAAAACATAGAGTAGAGTTCAAGTGCGACTTTAGTCTCCCGTGCAGTCATGCAGATATATTAGAACCGTAGGATGAACTGAGATCAAACTGCTGAAAATCAATGAAGAAGAGAAATTATGCGGTGGTAATTTCGTAATTTCTTGCACCATGTATATTTCGACGATGCATTACGTGTTAGTGTGTGGTGCATTTTTGAGTGCTCCATGGTCCATTTTTTAATGTCTAATGGTGCATTGATTTGTATTACACCACTCAACTGGGGTGTCAAAACTATCGATGTGTTCAATAGACTCGTTATCGGGGTGCATTACGTGCTAGTGTGTGGTGCATATTTTAGTGCTCTGTGGTACATTTTTTAGTGCTCTATGGTGTATTTTTTAGTGATTAATGGTGCATTTATTTGTATTACACCGCTCAAAGGGGATGTCAAATTCGTCGACGGGTTCAATAGACCCGTTATCAAGGTGCATTACGTGCTAGTGTGTGGTGCATATTTTTTAGTGTCCTGTGGTGCATTTTCAAGTGATACATGGTGCATTGAGATTGTCCCACGCCTTTGGATGCAAATGATCAAACGATGCAAATTAGGCCACACAACTGCATGGCATATGATAACCGCATATGAGCACATTTCCGAAAACATATAACAAATTGTTTAAAGTACTTATATATAAAGTCTTAACTAAACCCATCCGATCCTTAACTTGTTTCAAAAAACAATGGATGATGTAGCTCTATTAGCATGTAGTATCTGTTCATATACTTTCTAAACTTACTGAAACACAAAGAACCAATAACTTCTCCATTGAGACTCAAACTCATAACCTTCTAAATAGAAGTCCAACCCGGGTACCATTAGACCACATAGTTCTGGTATGTTATTTTTAATATAATTTATCAATTCCTATACGATTTGCGAATTGTTACACAGGAGTGCGATAGTAATTGATATCCCCTCCCAAAAAAATTGAGTTATACTATATGGATTCCTTTTTTTTTTTTTTTTTTTTTGAATGCTACTGGCTCTATTACAATGTAGTATCTGTTCATATACTTTCTCAACCTACAGAAACACAAAGAACCAGAGGCTCGAACTCACAACCTTCCAAATGGAAGTCCAACCCGGGTACTATATGGATTCCTTATTTATACTCCCATGTGACAAATGATGATAAATTATTTTTATCTTGTGTTTTCAATAAAAAAGTTATTTTTTATCTTGTGAGTGTCAATGAGAATCAACATCAAAATTTTGAGCAGGGAGTAAAAGTTAGAGATCTAGGAGTAGAAGTAGTACTAACAAAAAATAAAAATCATCTTATGTTAAAATTTCCTGACGTGGCCTGCCACATAGGCATGCTGTGTTTGTTAAAACTTAAAAAGAAATTAGAAAAATTTTGGTTTTTTCTTTTTGCCCTAAAAATCTTCCGCCTCCTTCCCTTAGTTCCCTCGCCTCTTGCTACACCATTTTTCTCCTTCTCACACTCTGTCTCCGCCGTCCTCCGCTCTCACGCCGGCGGCGCCATTAGCACTGCTTTATCGACTTGTCCGCCCTCTCCCGCCAAGCTCTTTTGTTCTCAATATTATCTCTTCACACAACACACAGCCTTAGAGGATGAATATGGATATAGACGCTGAAGAGGCAGCAAAGCGGGTACAGGTCCGGTTTGTGACGAAGCTGAATCCTCCGTTCAAAGCCCCGCCTACTTCCATAGCCATCCCGTCCAACCTCACCCGTTTGGGCCTCTCTGCCGTCGTCAACAACCTTCTCAAAGCTGGTAATCGTCAAGCTCAATAGTTCTGTTCGAAATTTTGACGAATATTCATTGTATTCGACTTCTAGTTCTATGTTGGCCGAAATGCTCATGGCAATTGATTTGGTTGCTAATATCATCCGTTAGAGCTTAGTTTTGTAATAATTTGTTAAACTTATACTAGATTTTTCGGTTTCTCTTTTATGCATCATATTATTCAAGGGACACTACTACAGACCTACAGTTCATGTTGATAGTTAGTTTAAACTAACTATGCACTTTCTTCTGTTTAGCTGTTTAGTCTGTATACTGAAGCATATTTGCCAATTTATTATCAGGGGATGACGATTGGAAACCCGAGCCTTTTGATTTTCTCATTGGTGGAGAATTAATTAGGATGTCACTTGAGGAGTTCCTCCTTGCGAAGAAAATTTCTGCTGTGAGTTTTCATTATTGGGTTCTACTGCCTGTATAGTCTATGTAATGATCTGTTTGTGGCAGATATATTGCCCTTTGTTCCATTCCAGAGGATAATTGGGTGTACCTTCCCCTCACCATCACCTGATTTCTTTATACATTCACGGGTGCACACACAACACATTAACTGAAGTGTGATAACTTCATCACAAATGATGTGCTTCCAAGTACCTTGAAATCTTTCCATGACATTGGCAACACTCCAGATGCTGTTTGAACATATTTCGTATCAATTGTATCTAACTTCTATGTAAATATCCTCTTTTGGTCTAAATATTGGTGTTTTTAATTACAGGAAAAGATATTAGATATTGAATACATTAAGGCAGTAGCTCCAAGGAAAGAAGAAGAACCTTCTTTGCATGATGATTGGGTCAGTGCTGTTGATGGTTCAAATTCCAAGTAAGAAAGATCATCCCTGGCGTTATTTTTCCTACAAGTAATTGGGTCTTGTGACTTGTGTATATGTGTTTCTTGTCTTGTACCTTTCTAGTCTGTCATTTGTTTTCCCTTTACTCTGAAGAAATCTGCTGTTGACCATTATTTTTGGGATCTATAATATCATGCAGTTTAATCATTTTGCTTTTAAGTGTATTTTTTGAGTTATATACTCGATTGTTCAGTAATCATATGCTTGTGTATGTCATCTTACAGGTTCATTGTAATAGGATGTTATGATGGTGTAGGAAGGTAATCTGTAAGAACTAGCTGTAGTAGTTTTTGCTATTTTTATTATAATCATAATAGCACTTTGGGCCTTCCGAACAAGATAGGTATGATTGATATTAACCATTTCCAGGTTATGGAAAGAAGCTGGATCTTGTACTCATGTATTGAAGGGGCATACTAGTGCAGTGACTTCTGTTTGTGTTATCAAGCCAAAAGGTATGGGTTATGGAGATGATTTCTATCAATACGTTGAATTATTTATTGCAACATCCAAATATCAGCTCAACTGTAGTGAATTTTGACAAAACACTCAACCATATGTTAAAGATTAATTTTTATTTGAGAGTTTGCTGAAACATCTAATGGATGTATTACTCTAATGCTGTGTAAAATAGGAATGTTATTGGTCTTTGCTTCATGATTAATAAATTTCTAGACAACATTGTTTATTTTTTGGAATGCACCGGTATGTGCTATTGGCCTATTGCTTCAGATCTTTATTGCCAATAATAAAAACTATTTGATGTGTTCTTGATTCTTTTCCATGTGTTCATTTTCCTTTTCTTTATTTATTTTATTTTATTTTTTCTGAACATTATTTTTCTTACTAGGTGCTGTAAATGGTGGCGATGAGCTGGTGGCGACTGCTTCAAAAGATAGAACTGTAAGGTTTTGGAAGGTAATAAGAATGCCTTTGCTCTTGATATAGAATGAAGTTTCTTTGCCTGATAAAGTGCTAATCTCTTGAGAATTCTCCTTTTTGCTTGGAAGATTGATGCTGATGAGATCCTGGAACAACCAAAGAGGATTAGAGCCTATAAAATTTTACGCGGACACAATGCTTCTGTCCAGAGCATTGCTGCACAGCCCTCTGGAGAAATGGTCTGTCTATTACTTCTATTTTTATTGGTTTGCTCTTCTTACAATTTGCATTTAAAGTTCCAAGAAATCATTTTCTAAACCTTCTTAAAATGTGATTTTTAGGTGTGTTCAGGTTCCTGGGATTGCACGATCAATTTGTGGCAGGCAAATGATTCAGATGCAGTTAGTGAAACAGTATCCATTAAAAAAAGGAAAAAAGGGAAAAAAGAGGAAAAAGACGATGATCCTCAAACAGAGGTGAATCTAGGGATCTACTCATGTTTTTAGGAATAAGATTCTGAAGTTTTTTTCACTTGATTTCTTATTGCAAGTGGAACCCTTTTATTGAATAGCATAGAAATTGTGTTGTCTCCATAAAAGTTCCTCATAAACAATTAGAAATTATGCTGTCCCTTGGCCTTGAATGCTACTCAATAGCCTCTATATAAGTTGGAGCTTTGTGGTTTTTAAACAGTTCTATTTGAACAGGGGGAGGCAGTATCTACACTCATTGGGCATACACAATGCGTATCTTCTGTTGTCTGGCCAAAAAATGACACAATTTATTCATCATCCTGGGATCGATCTATTAGAAGTTGGGATGTCGAGACAGGCAAAGATATAGTGAACATGGTGAGTGACATGGATCCCTTATTCTTTTAACAAGTACTCAGGAGTGAATTTGACTTGTGTTCTCTGATATTACAAAACCAACTCACATTTGTAATAACGAGCTTCTAGTCTTCTACGATAGTGATCTTTACCTATTACTGAAACCTGCCTTGTCAACGCATATTGTTATATAGAGTACAATAAATTATAGTTACCATCCACTACTCTTTGCAGTTTTCTGGGAAAGCCATTAACTGTCTTGATGTTGGAGGCGAAAGTTCTGCCCTCATTGCTGCTGGTGGTTCTGATCCTATATTGAGGATATGGGACCCTCGGAAACCAGGTGACTATATGGCTCAAACCAGTGTCTGCCAACAATCACCACCCCCTTCCTCCCCCCTCCCACCACACATGCATGGATGAGCATATTTGTGTATTTAACGAAGCAGATAACGAGTGGGTCTCTAACATACATTTCTTGTTGGGCAGATTCCTTGGCACCTATCTTCCAGTTCTCGTCACACAGTTCCTGGATATCTGCCTGCAAATGGCATGATAAATCATGGTTTCACTTGGTTTCTGCATCCTACGATGGAAAAGTTATGTTATGGGATTTGAGAACAGCGGTAACAAATCCTCTTTTCCTTTTCAATTGTTTATGTATTATCTGCACAACATTTTAGTTCTCACATGTCCAACCCATTCTGCATTGCAGTGGCCACTTACTATCATTGACTCACACAAGGACAAGGTATTCCATTAACTTGATTTTTATTACCATTTGAAGATTTTAAGCTAAAAAATCTATGATCCCTAAAACATAATTGGTTTATTCAACCTAGGTATTGTGTACTGCCTGGTGGAGAGGTGATAGCATTATAAGTGGTGGAGCTGACTCAAAGCTTTGCATATCTTCAGAACTTTCATTGCAGTAACAGCGGTATGTTTCCCATTATGTGTTTAGGAGTCTGGTATCGAAATGAACGTTTTAGAAGTTTGCTTTTTGAATTTAAACATTAAAGCTTGGTCTTCTACTGATTCGGCTCTCACTTCTGTTCGTTTCTATACTTTCAGTTCATTCAGATACACGCAAGATGCAACTTCACTTTTCATTGGCACTCAAAAATTGATGTTATGCTGATACATTGTGTACTGTATTCCTTCAAATTTTGATAATGATATAATTGATGAGTAAGCCAGTAAGGTACTTGAAAAATTCATTAGTGTTTTGTTATAATACTAATTTATTTTATTTTAGTTCATTGCCCGGATTTGTACACCCGAATGGGAAATATTTTGAACAGAGGCAGAGCTATTTTCTGTTGAGGATAGCTTTGCAGTAATATGAATTTCAGAGATTTTGATTTGATGAATCAAATTCATATGAGTACTAAATTATTGTTGGAATTTTTACAGAAATTTCTGTCCACTAGTTGATCATCATCAATGAATTATTATTAGAATATATGTATTCCAATTTCAGCACCCCAATCATGTGTCCTGACTCCTGACACAGATAATTTGGCATATTTTGGGCCTGAGTTATCTTATTCTTAGCTAATCAACTTGCCCATGCTGCATGCATCTTTCCATTTTTAGTTGTCCTTTCTTCCGTCTCGTGTTCATTTCAGAATCACAATTCACAACCGCCACACATTCAATTACACCAAATTTTTCTATATCCCAACCCATTTACACATAATTTTGCACCTAATTTTATTTCATCTCCAATTCATGTACACCAAATTTTATTCATACACTAAAATAATTTATATTCTTATAATTTAAAACTTTAATTTTGTTTACTTTAATTATTTTATTATAAAATATAATTTTGATATAAATAATAATATTTTAAAATAAAATTTATGTTTTTATGTATTTTAATTTTGATTATTTTATAGTCGATATTGATCTCGTTTTAAACGTGTAATACTATTCATTTATACTATTTTAGTGTAAAATTTGGTATCTTTTTTGAAAGAAGGTTGGGCTAAATTTTTACACTAAAATGGTATTTTGGTGCCTTCTTTAGAGATGCTAAGGATGTCAGTCAAAACTTTCCACATGTTGCAACTTTAATATGATTATGCTTTCACATGTGTCACGTGAATAAAAAGTGAGTTTGATCAAATAGAATGAAAATTATTGGAAGGAATTAGGGATTTGTTTACCAAATTGGGAAAAAGATGAAAAAAGAGCTCATGAAATGTTGAATATATTTTGAATTTTTTTTGTTGTTGAGAAAACTTGTATATACTAGTTGAAGGTATGTAATGGAGAATCTTTATTAATGTGTAATAGCCTGCAAATTATATAAGAGAAGTAGATCACACTATAACGATTATGTGTAACAGATTTGATTGAGAAGATATTGAATATTTTAATTTTTTAACACATCATTGGTATGTGTTAACTTTCATCTTTTTAATTAATAAAAATTTGTCCCTTATTTTTATTTTTATTTTTTTTATTTTTTATTTTTTTTGTTTTTTTGTTTTTTTTGTTTTTTTGTTTTTTTTTGCTGAAGTAACATAGTGCGATAATGATTTGATATGATGTCACCTTTGATATAAAATCACTGTCACCCATTTCTTCTTAAATAGTCCGTAATTGCTTTGCTTTTCCGTTAATATAGCGAAATTTTATATTATTAAATATTAACGTAAACTCAACATCTTAACTCTTGAGACAGTGATGAGCAGACTAGCAATTGAAAGATCGAAATTTTACTTCTATAAATAATACATCATGTTAAAAAGCTTTAAACTAGATAACTTCTTTATATAATTTGTAAATTTTTTAAAAATTATAATAATAATTTACTTCTGAGTTAATACCTGATTTGGTCTCTCTACTATTAAGATTTCGATTCTCAACTTCCAAACTTAATTTTATCTACAACCATGTAATTTTTTTTAATACTTAAAACGATTCTTTGTCCAAACCAAAATAGTCTTAATTAATACCATTTTGGAAGTCGAAAACCAAAGTAATCTTTAATAGTCGAGATATCAAATCGGATATTAACTCATTTACTTCCACAGTATAAAAATTATCATCCATACTTTCTTAGTTGAACCCGTTGCATAAGATATTTGTGATACCCTTTATCGTTTATGTGTAGTTTGTTACTCCGTAATTATTAACCATGAACTAATGTACACTCTTAACTACAAATTCTCGTCAATCAGGGACAACCCCATGTAGGTTAAACTGTTGACTTAATAACTACAAAATTCAGCATGAATAAAGTGACTTATTGACTTTCTTAATTTGAGTCTGTCAGATATCTTCAATTTGAACTAATTTATCTCGTTACGATTACAACTCACAAAATAAAATGTACCTAATATATACCCTCAGATAGTCGGTGGATTTTCGTGGTCACTAAAAAAAAATTCCTGTCTTACACCCAAAAAAGTAAAAATTAGCTTCCGTACATCTTTCCAATATTTATCACTCCGTATAAGAATTTACAAATTAAAAAACATTAATCCAACCCCATCTTGAAATATAACGTTGGATCCACCTTCCTGAATCAGAACTCAGAAGCCACAGAAAAATAATGAGAAGTCAACTGTCCTTCAGCGACGAGGATCAAAGCGAGCTGCTCAAAACCGCCGCATGGTGGTGGAGGACGCTCCCGGAGTTCGACGAGAACGGGCGGTTCAAGGAGGACATCTCCTCCGGCGGCCTCTCCCCGCGGCTCAAACTCCTCAGAGAAATGCAGAGGCTGGCCTTTATATCCATGGAAGGACTAGACCTCCTCCGCCACAAGCTCACGTCTTACCAAGCCGGAGATTTGTGGGTTCCGGTGGGCGGGATCAAGAAAACAGATATGGATATACCGGCGGTGATCACGCTCCTCCTCGTCGGCCTCACCGGCTCCGGCAAAAGCTCCCTCGTTAACTTCATGTACAGCGTTCTTGGCCGATCCGGCCTCATCCCTTTCGCCCAAACTTCAAGTAAGTCAAATTTCACATCTCCCCTCTGCAAATCACACTTTCAATTGCGAATAAATTCTACTCATATTTCTCACTTCTGCCAAATACCCATCATTTCCAAATCACTATTATATCGTCTGTTAGATATAACAAATATAATCTTACCTAATATCGCCCAAGCAATATTAGATATTGAAATATCTCCCACCATAGTTGATATCTTCTCAGACATCTTCAATGCAAAACACTAATGAGGCGTTTGGTATCTTTTTTAATTACAATATGTCTAGAGATAGTGTAAATGAGTGGTATTTGATTTTTTGTTTTTGATTTTGTTTTTGTGTTTGAATATGTAAATGGATCCAAGAAATACTAAAAATTTTCATTCCCAAACTTATTTGCATCAGATTCTGCACTAAATTCTAAATCATACTAATTTGTATGCTTAAGATTTAAAACTTTATTCTTTAAAAAAGTATTTTAATTTAAAATATAATTTTGATATAAATAAATAATATAATAATATTTAAAACGAAAGTTATGTTTTTAATTTTTAATTTATATTTAATATTGATATTATTGTAAACCTGTCATTCTGTCAATGTATTTTTGAAATTTTATAATTTATTTCTAATCAAATAAAGGGTAAAAAGGTATAAAAAAAGTTTTACACCAAAATGGTGTAAATGAATATTGTTACACCAAATATGGTGCATGTAACATTATTCATTTAGAGCAAATATCAATTTTGGTCCCACGAGTATTAGCAAAATAACTGTTTTGGTCCACATGTTTAATTCATACTAATTTTCATCAACGACTATTGTTTTAGTACTAATTTTTATCCACAATTATTGAGTTTAGTGTCAAAATTCATCACGTCAGTCACCCCTTCGCTTAAGACATGCTTTAATATGAAATTATTAAGGGTAGTTTCGTGTTTTTCAAATTAGGATCCCTATTTGAGCATGAAAATGGATTTAAACCCTAAGATCTATCCAAATTCACAGTTTTCATCCTTAAATTAAGGTAGAATGAGGAGGAGAACTGCGAATTGGGATCGATCTTAGGGCTTAAATTCATTTATTTATGCTCAAATTGGAATCTTAAGTTAAAAAAAGATGAAAATGCCCTTAAAAGTTTTAGATTTCGGGATGTCTTAAATAGATGAATTACCGGCGTGATAAATTTTGATACTAAAGTAATAGTCGTGGATTAAAATTGGTACTAAAACAATAATGGTGGATGAAAATTGATAAGAATTAAACATGTGGACCAAAATCGTCATTTTGCTAATACTTGTGGGACAAAAATTGGTATATGCTCATTCATTTACATCATTTTTGTGTCTTGGAAGAAGATTGCAATGAGTTTTACTCTAAAATAATATTTTCATGTCTTTCTTGGAGATGCCTTAGTTGCGCTGCCCTGTTTTGCAACATACTTGTCTCGAAACTTGCATCATCATCTCCTTTATGTTCTGCATCTTTAATTTAATTAGGCCAACCGACCAAGTTCACGACGATGTTGTTGGAAGAACACAATGTTCTGAGATCAAAGAAGAATGGGTTTTGCGTGTACGACACCAGGGGATTGGACTGCCACAGAATGGACGAAGGAATGGAGGATGTTTGGTCATGGATGTCGGATGGTGTTCGACATAACCAGCCATGTTGCAGAGGGAGTGATGATGATCGAGAGATGATGGAATATTCCATGGCGGGGCGTTGTGCAAATAAGTATTGTAAGAGGAGAGTTAACTGTGTTCTGGTAGTGGCTGACATGGAAGAAGCTTTTAAGGATTTCAGTTCTGGTGATTTGAAGCATGTTGAAGCTATAAAGATGATCTTTCACTCCCCATCCATTAGGAGATCAAGTGAGTTCTTCTTCTTCTTGCACTACTGGAAATTATGGAATTTTCGACCATCTGAAAATAATCTTCCGACCACTTTTGGTATCCGGAAAAATCTTTGTTGCTATTTCCGACCATTTTTTACTTTCGACTTGATATAAGATCCTTTCAGGTGGTCGGAAACTCCATAATTTCTAAACGTATTGTTAACTCCATTTTATAAACTTTTGATAAAATGGTGGCAGATGAGAAGCCGATGTTGATACTGACACATGGCGACATTTTAACTGCGGAGGAGAGGGTGGAAACCAGGCTGAAGCTATGCGAATCTCTGGGCATATCGGAGACGACCGGCGCCTATGACATAGCGTGTCTGTCGGAGAGTGGGATTCCGGCGGAAGAAGGCGATCCGGTGTCGGCATTTGCGTTGACAGAAGCGGTTTACAGGTCGCTTTTACAGTCAGATAGAACTCATCTTCCGAAGAGGAAGTTTAAAGACTGGGTTTTGGCTTTTGCGTCGTGGGTTTTGTGTTGCTTCAGCTCTTTCTTTGCCATGCTTGCAAATTTCTTCTCCAGGTTTGGAGGTAATAATAAAAGACATAGACTCAAGATTAGTTAGGAGGTTGAATTGTGTTTGTGTTTGGTAGATGATGATTATGGTGATCTGGAGAATGGATTTAGACGAGTTGACTTAGAAATTTATTTGGAGTTAATGCTGATACTCCGAATATAGTGGTTTTGTCACATTTAGTTTTAAACTTTCAAATTGATCAATTTGTGGTCCTTATACTTTTAAATTTAACCATGATCCAAGTTAACCACCCATGGTCCTTAAACTATTAAATCTTAACCAATCATGGTCCTTTCAAGAGGACCACGGCCGGTTAAATTTCGAAATTTGAAGGATCATGTGTGATTAACTTGGACCGCGAATGATTAAATTTGAAAGTCGATTTGAAAGTATAGAACTAAATGTGACAAAATCATTATACTCGGAGCCCTTTATGTGGCATTAACTCAATTTATTTGTTGAATTCGATAGATTGGTTATGTTGTCAAGCATGTTTATAAGAAGACTAATATGTGTGCAGATCAATAAGCGTCTTTATTTATTTTGACACGATTTGGATTGCAAGTGCTTTAAGTCCTATGGTGTTTATATACTCAATATGTGTAAATGTAGTTGGTATGAATGTATGATTTGAGTTTATTTATGCAATGTTATTATTATTATTATTATTTATTATTATTTATTTATTGAGAACTTGACTGTCTTGCTCTTTAGCTCGCCAATGAGTGGATTAAAAGGTTAGCTAAATAGCATTTTGTATTGTAAACTGGAGTTAATTCCACCATAGGTTCTTTGTCTTTGTTGACAATTTCAAATTTAAAAATAGACTATTGACTTTGCCATTTAACATTTCAGACTATTATTTTTTGGACATTTTTAGTCATTCTCATTACTTTTCATATTTTTAATAAGTGCATTTTTGTCTTATCATATATTTTTTTTTTTGTTATTTTTCCGGTTTCAATCGTTTTAATTGGTTTACGACTTTACTAAAAATTAGTTGAAAAATATGGTTACTAAAAATCAGAGGTTACCTAAAGTTCGAAAACGGTTGAAACTAAGGATGACAATTCAACCTGTCCCAGACAGGGAAAATCGATCCCCACCCCGATGGGGGTGGGTTCGGAGATTTATTTCGGGGAACGGGGGCGGGGATGGGGGAATTTCTCAATCCCCGCGCGGGGACGGGGACGGTGAAGGCATTCCAAATTCTGACTCAGTCTCTAAGTTATGCCCGTATCCGAGTTTAGTCCCTTAGTTATGAGCAAAGTGGCGAGTTTAGTCCTTAGCGTTAATATTCCGTTTGCAGCTAACGGAAAACTTAAAAACAATTTAATAATAGAGGGATAAAATATGAATTTCAAATTATAATTCCCTTCTAAATGTTGAAACCCATTGCGCAACAATCATTTTTTTCTTCTTATACCTACAATCGAATGTCTTTTTCTTCCTCAAGCTCTGAAATCTCAATTTGTCAACTTCCAAGCTGCGAAATTCATAAGGAAGTTGTTTCTCTATTTAGTATGTTTTTAAAATAAATAATCAATATTCTCCGTATTTATGAGTAAGAAAAAAATAACTTGGGAGAGATGTTTCATAATTTCATGAAGAATATTGATTACTTTTTTCTTGATAACCAATATCCTCCAAGTTATTTTTTTATTGATATAAAAGTATAAAACAAAGAATATTGATTATTTATTTAAACATATAAAATAGAAAAACAACATGTCCATGAATTTCGCAGCTTGGAAGTGGATGAATTTGAGACTTCAGAGCTTGGGGGAAGAAAAAGACATTCGATTGTAGATATAAGAAGAAAATAATGACTGTTGCGCAATAGATTTCAACATAATAAGGGAATTATAATTTGAAATTCTTATTTTACCTCTCTATTATTAAATTATTTTTAAGTTTTCCGTCAGATGCACACAGAATATTAACACTAGGGACTAAACTCGCCACTTTGCTCATAAATGAGGAACTAAACTCGAATACTGCCATAACTTAGGACTGAGTCGGAACTTGATTATAACTCATGGACTAAATATGCAATTTCCCTATAACATATAATATATAATATATAATATGTATATTATTAATTAATAAATAAATTTCAAAACTAAAAAACGACTTAAGTGCTTTATGCTTAACCCTAGCAGTTCTTATTCTCCCAGCCGTGAGCCCTCGCCGTCCGCACTCCTGCCGTTTGCTGTCTTGCTCCGGCTTCTCGTCGCTCGTCCTGTGTCTGTCTCCGGTCATCGATGGTCGTCTGCCACTACTCTAGGAGTCCAGCCGTCCAAGTAATTAGTTCTTTGGTCCCTTTGATTTCTTTGCTTAACTTATTTCGTTGTTCTCACTTCTTTTACTAGTATTCTACACCATTTTTCTTTGCTCTCCTTAATTTCGCTGTTCTCACTTCTTTGCTTTACATATTTCTTTGCTGTCTTTGATTTATTTCTGGTGCATATTTTGTGTCATTGTGATCTGTAGACTACTGTATATGAAATTTAGGATTTTAGGCCAAAACAATAAAGATAGTGGGTTTACTAGCCATAGATTGAGTGGTTACTTTTGAAACCTGGGCATTGGGTAATTGATTTCATTTTTCTTGAATTTCCAGAAACTTTTAAATAATTAGAAAAGGATACACAAATGTTTTTGAAATGAGTTTTGAAGATAAAATGCTTTTGAATAAGGAAGCATTACTTTCACATAGTTTCCTATCCTTGGGATAGCTTTTGCCTCTTGATCAATAGTTCTATTTCTATTACTGGTATTACTTTTCTGGTGATGCTGCCAATGCATTGCTATGAATGCGCCATAAAGTTTTTACCTGCATAAGTTATTAAACAATATAAAAAGAAGATGATAGGCTTTTTTTTTTTTTTATATATATAATTACTTTGCATAATTTAATATAATTATCATGAAAGATATATTAAAAAAAATTAAGAATCCATAAAGATTGAGACATAAGGGAAACAGTAGCTTTTTTAATGCATAAAAGACGCTATATTGGAGCCTATAAGTGATACTTTATTGACAACCATTTTTTTTTTCATTTTTTTTTTTGTTTTTTTTTTTTTTTTTTGGGTGGAGTAGAGCAATCATAGTAGTAAATTCAGAGACCATTTTGTCAGGCCAATTTTTAAAAAAAAAAGAAAGGGAAAACATGAAAACAAATACCAAAAAAAGAAGACAAAAAAAATTGTTAGTTTCATGTATGCTCCTAGCGGGCGAATGAGAACCAAACATGCAAGCACTCGCTAGGAGCACAAGTTATGCACCTAGCGGGCAAATGAGAACCAAGCACCTGCTAGGAGTACAAGTTATGACTACAAAGTTATTATTGTTGTTATTACTGAGTATTATTTTTTTGGTCATAGAAAACTGTGAAAAACTTGTCGTCTTGTACGGGATTCGTTTTTTTTTTTTTCACCTCATCAAATTTGCGTCAAAAAATGGTGAAAAAAAAATCATTGTTGAAGCTGCCCTAAAGTAGGAAGTGAAGTGTTGGAAGTATTTAGAATGAATTAATTAGGAGATTAGACAAACGATGATAATGTTGTTGTACAAGATTAGGACAAAATGTCAACTGAAATGAACAAGTGGGGAGAGGGCCATCATATATAAAATATGGTTGACACACACACACACACACACACACACACACACACATATATATATATATATATATATATATATATATATATATATATATATATATATAGGTCAGACTATTATTTATGGCCCAAAATGTGCATATTAATATATGGGCTAGCCCATATCTTATAACCCATTAAACTGAATATAAATACCCCTCCCCCAAACCCTAATCGGCTGAGAGCCGACTCTTCATCTTCCACCTCTGATCTGATCTCCTTCGTCTTCTCTCTAGGCAAGTCTGAGAATTCATTTCTCTGCTTGGCTATTTTGTTGGTTATTTTGCGAGCGTCGCACGGTGGAAAGCACTTCGCCGTTCGCTAAGCAACGAACTACTTTTACGGGATCTGCCTTGTGATATTATCATATTAACAGATGTGTTGTCTCTGGTCTTAGGTTAGAACTAACCGACCGGCAAAGACGAAGGGATCTACTAAAAGATAAGTTAATTTTTCATGTTTATGTATTATCCGCTTTGAATATACAGGTTTTAAGTTAATTTGTTTTCATTTTTTAAATGTAATTGTGTTGCATTAATTATAGAATATGTACTATATATATTTGTTTTTTTTTGTAATTAGAACTTGTCACTTTTTCTTATTTGCATGGTTTTCATACTTCTTGTATTATGTTAGAGTGTGCATATAGTTAGAAGTAAATCTTCAATGAGTAACCTAAATATGTAAGATTTTTGAATGCACACAATATTTTGTTATTGTAACTGTAAGTCGGATAAAAATATCATATATTACAATGGCTAATAAATAATAGTGCCAATTGATTAACATACAAAATATATAGTGCAAATAAATAATAGTGCCAATTATTTTTTTCATTCTTTATGAAGTCCATTAGAGATCTCTGGATAGAGTTAGTATGATCCTTTCTCCTTCTTTAGCAATCCCTTTAGCTGCAGTGGCGGTTTACTTCATCAACTGCAGATGCTTCCTAATTATTTTTCAAATACAATAAAAAAATTGTAGAGTATATGATTTAAAAAAAAAAAAACTAGATTATTTGTCTGCTTTTTTAGTATGGATACTTTGAGAGGCATGAGTGTCATGCCCTTTGTATCCCACTAACTTTATTGCATCCTCTTATTGTTTTTTAATTTGTTAAGGCAGAACCTATGATTATTTGTGGTTTGTAAACCTATACCTTGTACAGTAAAGGTTTGTTGATTTTGTAGCTAAAGTTATTTATACATTATCTGAATTAAGTAAACTACTTACGAATAATAGCATAATTGTATTACTAACTTCATAGACTTGTGAACAATAATCCTTTAGTACAATTACAAAATTAGATGCCTACTACCTAAACACACTTAAATTTCTAACTATAAAGCAATACCAGATGTCTTCTATCCACCTTTTGCAGTATAATTAGCTAAAAATCCTTGCAAAAAGATAGTTTAAAAAGCATTCAGTAAGTAGTTTAAACAAAACTAACAATTTAAGATACACCATTGAAGAGTTCTTTTAGTTCAATATATGCAGTTTTCATTTTTACATGATTCTATTATTTTTCAAGAGAAAGTGGGAGAGGATGCAGTATTTTGATACCTTGTTTGAACCTAATCTGCAGCATTATTGACCAACAGATATCTTATTGCTCTTGTGTGGAGAAGGAGGCATTTTTTTGGGGAGAAAAATCAAGGTTTTAAGACTCCGGTCGTGTGTCGTGATTTTATTGATAGAAGAATGGAATAGTAAAAAAAAAAACAAAACTATATAGTCTCATTATTTTAATATTTACTCTCAACTTCTATTTTCACTATCAAATTCTTGATATAAACACTTTTATGGAGTATATTACAAAATTTGAGGGTTTGACTGGTGGAGTTGACAAATTTACCTCCGGCGACAGGCCGCTCGGCCATCGAACACTGCATTCATTCATTCAGCTCATGCCAATGAAGGAACTCGCTCTCTGAGACTTCCAATGAGCCAACCACTTCTACAAGAGTCTCTCAAGCCGCCTCAACCATTACCTTGCATACGCTTCTCAGAACCCCAAAACCCTCTAATCGATCACAGCTTCGAGCAGAACTATAGAACCACGTGCACTCTCCTCCTCTCCCAAACCCGCTCGAGGCACCTTCCTAAAGGCCTGGCCTTGCATGCCCACATCATCAAGTCTGGAATCAATGCAGTTCCGCTCGTCTGCCACCACCTCATTAACTTCTACTCCAAGCTCCAGTGCCCAGTTGAGTCTACGATCGTCTTTGGCAAAGCGCCGGTCAAGTCACCCACCACATGGAGCTCCGTTATCTCTTCGCTGGCCCATAATGAGTCCCCGTGCTTAGCTCTTCAGTATTTTCGCGAAATGATACGTTCTGGTGTCAGACCCGACGATCATACTTTCCCGTGTGCTACGAAATCTTCCGCCATGCTTTCAGATTATCATATCGGGGGAATGGTACATTGCTTTTCTATAAAGTCAGGGTTTGATTCGGATGTGTTTGTTGGGAGTTCTCTGGTGGACATGTATGCTAAGTGCGGGAAGATAGATATAGCTCGGAAGGTGTTCGATGAAATGCCTGAGAGGAATGTGGTTTCTTGGAGTGGGATGATATGTGGGTATGCTCTGATAGGCGAGGATGATGAGGCTTTAAGGCTTTTCAAGGAAGCGTTAGCGGAAGATTTGGATGTCAATGATTTCACATATTCAAGTGTGATTCGAGTATGTGGTAGTTCCACTCTGCTTGAGTTAGGGAAGCAGATACATGGGTTGTGCTTGAAAACAAGCTATGATTCATCGAGTTTTGTGGGAAGCTCGTTAATATCTTTGTACTCTAAGTGTGGACTTGTAGAAGGTGCTTATCAAGTTTTTGAAGAGGTGCCGGTCAAGAATTTGGGTATGTGGAATGCAATGTCTATAGCCTGTGCTCAACACGGGCACACCAAGAAGGTTTTTGACTTGTTCACACAGATTGAAAGAGCTGGGCTGAAGCCAAATTTTATTACATTTTTGTGCGTGCTCTATGCTTGTAGCCATGCAGGGCTAGATCAAGAAGGGAAACACTATTTTGGATTGATGAAAGATTATGGGATTGAGCCAGGCGATCAACATTATGCTTCGTTCGTGGATTGCCTTGGCCGAGCTGGAAAGTTACAAGAGGCTTTAAAAGTTGTTGAAGAAATGCCTATGCAACCTACAGAATCTGTTTGGGGAGCATTATTGACTGGCTGTCGCATTCATCGCAACATTGAATTGGCAGCTTATGTGGCTGATAGGGTTTTTGAGTTAGGTCCCGTGAGCCCAGGCCTACATGTGCTATTATCCAATACTTTTGCAGCTGCCGGTAGATATGAAGATGCAGCCAAAGCTAGGAAGATGCTGAGGGAACAAGGGGTGAGAAAGGAAACAGGGTTGAGTTGGGTCGAAGAGGGGAACAAGGTGCACACATTTGCTACTGGTGATAGGCACCATGCGAAATATAAGGAGATTTACCAAAAGTTGGACGAATTAGGGGATGAAATGGAGAGAGCTGGTTATGTTGCAGATACAAATTTTGTGTTGCAACAAGTGGGTGACCAAGAGAGGGGCGAGGCGATCAGGTATCACAGTGAAAGAATAGCCATTGCTTTTGCACTCATCACATTTCCACCCGAAAGGCCAATTAGAGTTATGAAAAACTTGCGTGTTTGTGGCGATTGTCACAATGCTATAAAGTTTATGTCCAAGTGCACAAGAAGAATAATCATTGTGAGAGATAATAATCGATTTCATCGATTTGAGAATGGCAAATGCACGTGTGGCGACTATTGGTGACTATAGAATTGTATAAAGCATATGTATAGATTATATTTTGTCTCTTCAACAGTGTTGCAAAAATCGTGTCTAGAGGGCGCTTAGCGATTTTTTCAACGTTGCTCTTCATTATATAGAATAATCATTATTATGTGTTTTTTTACTTGCGGTGAAGATTATATTTACGGATAATAAATAATATTATTATGCTATTTTAACCTAAATTTATGTAATATGTAGTGTTGTTTTCCTAGTCCTAGTATAACATTAAAAAACAAAAGGTGGTTGGTGATAAATCCTTGAGTTCCGATGGCACAAAATAAAGCAAAAAGTTGAGGCATGCTATGCATGTGATGAGTTGTAATGTCAAGAAAGTGGTCCAAACCCTCTTTTATTTCCTTGCAATAAACCAACAAAATTTCTTTAAGACTCATCTTTTTCATTCTGCTGTCACCACAATACTATCTGTAATCTGCCAAATATTTTGTCTCTTCACTGTATCAATCACATCTATTCATCACTAATATATATAATATCTTTCTCCTACAAAATGTTCAAATATTATTGCAGCCCACAATTGATCTATTCCACTAGGGTGTCTTCACATATAGACCTAGAAAATTTTGTTAAAAATATAGCTTAGGTATCATATATTACACATCGATAATCGTGTTTATTAACTGGAAAAATTCTTCATTTTCTGAAAAAAAAAAAAAAGATTGAAGAAAGCATATTACTAATGTAATGCAAGGTCGAATGTTTGACTTTTGTAAAAGGAAAATGTTCTTTACTCTCTTGAATTTTCCCTCCCATATATATTTCCTATGTGACTTTCATTCATTATATTGGGCGCCCATTAATTAGTTAACACACCACTAATTTAAAAGAAAATTTAGTCAGTTGCTAAATCTGTATGTATTTTATTATTTTCTTGTAGTGAGTAGTATATTTATAATTTTTATGAATTGTATATAATCGACTGAATGTACAATGATTTCTATTTTAAAATCATAATATTTTAAATTACACATGAACGAGACAATAAACACACCCTTGAATCGTAATTGCAAGTTTTCTCATCACTCAAAAATAATAATAACATTTGTATATACAATATTGTAAAGTGTAACATGTTATTTAAGAACATTATACAATTCAAGGTGATTAATTAGGGAGGTTGAAGATAAGAGATAACCTTAAAAAAGAGATAATCTATTTGGTATGGTTAAGATTGAGCTACTTGGATAATTGAGTGCCATGCATTCACAAATGAGAAGATCTTGACTGTTCTAGCTAGGGTTTGACAACATGACAAAGTGATTTGCATGTTTATACAGTCATCCAATTCATGACAAAACATTATGTTATTTTCAAATCTTAAACTAAATATTCTATTTGTTGTTCTTATTGTACTTTATAACTTTATAATTTCCATCTTTAAAAATTAAATATATATAGCAAAATGAAATATTCTCTCATTTTCAAAAGTCAGGCATACTATTATGTCATCATATTTGTAAATCAACAATATTTTCTCTGCATTCTTGCGCTCGAGCCCCACAATGCTAATAGCATCAAATTTGCAAATTTTGCAATCTTCCTCTATTTTAATTTTTTTAAAAAAATAATTTTAGTCACATTTTAATCATAACTTTCTCAATTTTACCAAATTTGTCTCACTTTGATCAAACCTACTAAGAATTACAAAGAGGTAAATTAGCTAGTATATGATTGGATTAAATCAAGAAAATTAATAAGTAGCTTCCGCATAAAATAAAATTTTAAATTTAATGATTATCAAATTATCTGTTTAATTAATTCAATTGGAATTGCCTATATATACTACATGCATGGAAAGAACACAAATTGTTCAAAGAGATTCTTTGACCATAAGCATATTATTATAATCTTAAAAGTTCATTAATTAACTTATGTATGTACATAAAGCTATTTAAATTTTGACAGCAGAGGTCTCGCACGTGGATTCAGAACCAAAGTCTTTATTAATTACCCTACGACAACAGTCACTCATTGACTGATGACCACTTCAATTTTCACGCTAATCATTTTAAAACGTGAAATTTTAACTTCTAGTAATTGAGTGTTTAACCATTTCCAATTTTAATCCTCAACTTTAAAATTGTTTCAAAAAGTATACGAGTAGTATTATATGATGCTATAGTATAATTATAACAGCTTTAAAAAATTCAAGGAAACATGCATATGCATAAATCAATTTAATTAACCCGGATAGCTCGAATTACTAAACCTAATAATAAAGAATAAATAGTAAAATGGGAAAAGACAATGAATATATGTCGTGGAGACAAATTCTTGTATTGATATCGTATTTGTAGGAAGATTACAAGTAGTTGTAATAACTAGACAAGAGATTAGATGTCCTAAACAAGACAAGAATGAGACATTTTTTACTAACTTCCTCCCAACCGCCCCATGAGAATAGGGTGGGCAGTTGGATCGCCCCTTGACCGAGTCCACGCGCGTAGCACGCAAGGTCGAGGGCACCCCGAGTTGAGGTCGCCTCCCGCCAAGGTCGACCTCGAGCCGAGGTTGTCTCCAACCGGGATCGCCTCGAGCTTCCCGGGTTTGTCTGCTCCGAACGCGTTTCTAATATATCCATCATCAGTCTCCCACTCTCCGAGTTGCGAGTCTTCGTTAGCGAAGGAGAGTAGTCCCGAACCAAAATTTAACTCAAAATTACGAGAATAATTACTTGTTGCAACCCATCTTCGTGCATCCCTGCATGCAAACGCCTCCCCTTATGTTGGTGATGTCCCCTTGGAGGCACGTGACGGATACCCCTCCAATCCTCGCCTAGAGGACATTCACCTACTTGGTGATATGGCCGACCTCATTTAGCACCCAGCTAGGACTGAGCAGCCTTAGCCGAGCTCCCCTCTAGAGGCTTAGATTAGTGTTCCTATGTTTTCGCCATGTATTTTGGACTCTTTGGTATCGTGAATGAAACTTCTGATTTATGAGCTCGCTTTACTTCTTTCGTGCATTTTTCCTAGATGTGTCATCGTCTTGGGCGAGCCCATGACACGGCCTCCTTGATGCGTGCTCGTCTTGGGCGAGCTCATGATGAGATGACCTCTTTGATGCGCCCTCGTCTTGGGCGAGCTCATGAGATGACCTCCTTGATGCGTCATCGTCATGGGCGAGCTCATGAGATGACCTCCTTGATGCGTCCTCGCCTTGGGCGAGCTCATGAGATAGACTCCTTAATGCATCCTCGTCTTGGGCGAGCCCATGAGATAGCCTCCTAGCTACGTCTTCGTCTAGGGTGAGCCCATGAGATAGTCTCCTCAATGCATCATCGTCTTGGGCGAGCTCATGAGATAGCCACCTTGACGCGTCCTCCTCTTGGGCAACTCGAGCTCGACGTAGCTTTAGTCCCAGCCCCCAGACCAAGGATTGGGTTGTACTTGGAGTTCAGACCTCCTACCATGGACAAACTTTGTGATTTGATTTTTTTTTTTTTTGTAGGCGTGGTTGCTCAGTCAAGGGTACCCCTCGGCTCGAGAACCCTTCCGTCGGATGGCGCGTGAGACCTCATGTCCTCCTTAGGGTAGCCCATCGACTCCAAGTCATCGGACTTGGGCCGTTAGGCTCTTCCATCAGGCGGCGAGCGAGGTCGGACCTCGTGCCCCCCTTAGGGTAGCCCATCGAATCCAAGTCACCGGACTTGCGTCGTTAGGCTCTTCCATCAGGCAGCGAGCGAGGTCGGACCTCGTGCCAACCTAAGGGTAGCCCATCGACTCCAAGTCACTGGACTTGGGCCATTAGGCTCTTCCGGCGAACGAGGTCGGACCTCGTGCCCCCCTTAGGGTAATCAGAGAGGCTCGATGGGTACCTCCACCCCTTCCCTACGAGTAGTGAAAATGAATCCATCGTGAATTTTTACTGCTTTCATTGAAGGGGACATACCACCTTACAAGAACAAAATCATTGGAAATATTTGAGCAGGTGCTCATAGTTTCACGCTCTATCTATCGTCTTTCCTCTTGGCGTCTTGACCTTGTAGCTGCCGTGACGAACCACAGCTGATACCACGTCGGGCCTTACCACCGTTTCTAATATATCAATCAGGTGGTCTAATAAATAAAAATGATTCTTGTATTAGAAGATCACAAATTCAATTATCGTTAATACTCTCTTATTCGAACCCATTACACAAAGTTTTCAACCCTATCCTAAAGATTAAAAATAATGTTTGTACTTCTGAATGTATATATTTTCAATGCAGAATCTATAGCTATAGTTGCGCCCAAAGCACCCCCCCCCCCCCCCCCCACCGCCCTCTTTTTATGCTCCCTTTCTCTCTTACTTGCACAAAAAATCTTGACATAAAATTTGAACGGCTAGAATTGCTCTAAGCCGCCAAAATATGTCACGAGCTTTTATATGCATCAAATTTTTAGGTCTAAACTTTTGTTTTTAGCATTAAATCGAAGTAGTGATGATAATACAAAGCATTAAATACTAATAATTAAGCCTAAGCATTCACAAGGCATCCTCAATAGTAAGGTTTTTGGAGTGATTTTTTATGTCCTATCTAGGAGAGAGAAGAATGAAAAAGAGAAAAAAAAAAAAAAAAAAAAGGAAAACACATAAACTAGACGCCCAAAAAAAAAATCAGAGTGCTTGGCGCGCCCGGCTAGGCGCCATTGTACGCGAAACGCGCAACAATGCGAATCTAGCTTCTCTTTCCATGTGCTGTGAGACCCACAAAAAACTCATCCCTTATCGAAGGAGCTCAAATTTTCTCTCACCTCCCATTCTCTCCTGCACATCACCAACGTTACTCTCAAAAACTCTGCAAAATGCACTAATGCGGATGAGGATGACCTTAGGATTTTAAATCTTAAGTGTTTGCTCATGAGGAGTGGCATGCATGCATGCATTTAAGAAGCCCTCATAACCAACTGTAAACAACAACCTGGTCACAAACTAAGTGGTTGACTTGACGATAGAGATGTAGAGAAGTTTATAAGATTCTTTCTTTGGTTCAATATCAACATAGCACTTCAATATGGCAAGCACACCATATTCTTGGTTTAGATCCTCAATTCCCAGCTGCTAGTTAAGTTGTAGTTAATTTTGTACAGACTTGATTGTTGAGAATTGAGAGTTGGGAGTTGAGACCAGCCGCCAACATGTTTGCACCAAAAGTACAAACTAATTTATGGTACAACCTGTCCATGTTTTGCCTCTATTGGTGGGATCTTCCTATTTTCTTATGCTACCGGTGAGAAAGTTGCTTTTTCAATTTCCATTTTTTTCCCATAATAACGATATGTTTTTCTCAATCCTATTATATAATTATAACATAGTAAATTGCCCTAAAAGGGGTGATTGAGTGAGTTGAGCAAAATTTTCGTATTTGAATTGCTACGAGTTAACCTTTTTGGTCAAGCTCGTCGCATGGAGTATTCTTAGTACAATTTAATTATCTCTCCATATTTCTCTCGATTGAATCCTTGTACAAGGTTTTCTTAGTATAGATTATTTGTCCTATTTGATTTGAGAGCTATTACACATAAGCGAAGTTTATTCTATGCATACACTATAGGTTTCTGTCTTTATGAGTCGGTCGAGAAATATATACATATTCAACCATATGCTTTGGGGGATGGGAAAGGAAAAAAGATCAATATTCCCCAAGGATCAATGCTAGATTGGTATATTAAGGAGTAAGAAGTAGAGCATATAGTTTCAGAGTAACATTAATTCTTATTAAGGAGTAGTGCATTAATATTTAGTGGTTTATTTTTAACGTGACTATATTGTTATATTAATTTTGAAGTGATGCATGCCATTTTTAGTTGTGTTAACAATTTCATCTAATAACAATTACATAGTATATATTAAGTGGAAAGATAAAATTGACATTTTACTTAATTTTTACATGTTGGACTATACATACTCAATCAGTCAAATAGTTCAACATGCACCACTAGGTAGGCATACTTGGCTAAAATAGAAAGTTGCATGTGAAAGAGGAGGAGAGCGTGGCTTGAGTTCAAGCGCAACTTGACCGACTAATCGAGCGGACGAACCAATTAGAAAGAGAGGCATGAAGACGCAACACTGGACCAACTTAGAATATGTTGACTTCATGTATATTATAAATAACTCAATTGACCTTGCTCAAAGAGGCATTACATTATTACTCACTTCACTACATACATCACACTCAATAGTACAATCGATTATATCCAACCATCTTGAGTCTCGTGATCGACTGATTAACTTATTACTTATATATCTATACTCTACTTCACTATAGCAATCAAAGACTCCCGATTTAAGAGCATCTCCAATAATTTTATTTGTGCACAAGATTTTACACCCTCTACGCGTCCAGTTGGAATGTGTAATACACGCGCCAACTGGGCGCTGCTGGTGCGCCTAACGCGCACCAATTGCCTTCTTTTATTTTTTTAATTATGCTGTGAGGCCCACTGCAGGAGTTAAGAACTTTGGATCTCCTGCAAGTAACTTATCTTTTCTCTCACTTCTACATCATCTATTTTGCTTCAAAATCTTCAGCCAAAAACACTAATGGGGATGCCCAATGTACACTATCAGTACATTTGAGCACTAAGTAAGAAACTAATTTATGAAGAACCACAAAAAAAAAGTGTAGAATAAAACCTAATATTTATCTGGTTCCCAAATTTCCAAAATCCGTTATATATATATATATATATATACGCCTTTTCGCACCCTCTCCGGGTCTCCGACCAAACAACTGAATTGGAATTTAAGGGCATTAGCGTCATTTCACACTCCCGCGCGGCTAGGGTTTTCGCACGCTCCCTTATAAACCGCCCGTCCGAATAAATTCTTTCTTCTCCACTCTCTTTAGCAGTCGTGTCGGTTCTCTCTCCGCCTATCCGTTTTCTCCTCATTTCTTAATCTCTTCCCTCTCAAAATCCCTCCATTTTTGCTTTTACCCACCTTCATTAAGCTCGTTTTACTGTCTTAGTATCTGGTTCTTGCTTCTTCTTGTGTGCGATTTCAGTTTCTGTACTTCTCTTGGATCGTGGGTCACCGTGATCTTTGAAGCTTCAAGTGTGATCAGAGTAGCTGGGCTGAAATTTGTGCCCTTTTTGGTTCAGATCTTCTGGGTAGTGGGCTCAAATGGTGGATCTAAGTGACAGGGTAAGTGATCGTCGTCTACCCACTGCTTATCTTTGTGTGATGATCTGATCAGCCGATCAAGCTCTGATTTTGATTGTAATGGGTGCAGGGATCGGAATCTGAGGATATGAGTAGCCAAACGCCGACCCCGGAAAGGGAGACGAATACCCAGATCAAAACTTGCGCTGATTGTGGCACCACCAAGACTCCTCTCTGGCGCGGCGGCCCCGCCGGCCCCAAGGTTCGCCGCTGCTTCCCTTCCGGCCATTACAGTAAATTCTCGACTTCTGTTTAACTGATTCTCGTTTTGGGTTCTGTGAATGCAGTCGCTATGCAATGCCTGCGGGATTCGGAGCCGGAAAAGGAGAAGAGCGCTTCTGGGTCTCAACAAAGACGACAAGAAATCAAAGAAATCGGCCGGCGGCGGCGGCAGCAACAAGAACAGTAGCGGCAGCTCGAGCGACAGTGGCAGTAGCAGCGGCGGGATTTCCCCCGGCTCCGGCGGCGGCGGCCGGAGATTCTTGCCGTTCGGGCGGGAAGTGGCGTTGCAGAAACCGAGATCGCAGCAGGCGCGGCGGAAGATGGGGGAAGTAGAAAAAGCTGCTTTTCTGTTGATGGCGTTGTCATGTGGCTCTGTTTTTGCTTAGATTAATTAAGGGAGGATTTATTAAGGAAAATGTAGTCTTAATTACTACTAGTTTTGGTGAGTGATTAGGGGGGAAGACAGCAAAGTTGATGATCAAGATTGGAGGATCTTTCAAATGTAGGGTTGAGATTCAATCGTGTATTCTCCTATGTTATTTATATTATTATTATTATTGAAAATGAAAATTGCTAACTTTTGTCCCCATTTTCATTGACTAATCTTGTGATGTTTTTTTGTCTCTTTCATGCCTCATTTTAATCACAAATTACAAATAAAACGTTACTAGCCAAAAAAAAAAATATATCAAAATTTTAAAAAACTACGGCAAAGTTTAGGGTAAATACATATACTTGTTTGGATGAAGTTTGAAATAGATACTTGTTTATTTATTTTGTCTCTTTCCTATATTATCTTATTTTTGGGTGGTAAGGGAACTCCCAGAAGAGGTAAACAGTATTAGAAACACTATGTACGATGAGTTTAACTGAGAGGGTAAAACTTCAAAAAGAAAACAAAAAATTACTAAGAGGGTAAAACTTCAAAAAAAAAAAAAAATTAAAATAATTGCGCCATAGATACTTATTTAATTGATGTTTGAGATAGATTGTAGCTTTCATGTTGTACTTAGTAATCATTATTATCTAACAAAAATATCTACAATAATTCATTGCTATATGATAGCTCCACTTTAAATGCTCATTTAATGAGCTATTTCTTTCCAAAAGGTTGAATCCTCAACTCCAAGGGTCCCACACCCTGACCTGACAAACCATTTGGAGGATGTAAATTATGATAACTCTATGATAACTCAAGCTGGTTACTCCCACATTACGACTGTTGAGACTCGATCTCTGATCATTCTTTTTAAATTTCATCAATGTGACCAATTGAGCTGCTTTTGGACTACATACAATTGGTAATTTGGGATAAAATTTAATTACCAAAAAAAGAATATTGAATTGAACCATGTCTGAACCTTGAAAAGGACAAGGAGTAAGACTTTGCTTCTTTACCTCCAAGTTGAATGGGGAAATAGTAAAGCAATTTATGGTAAATTTAGGAGAAAGGAAAAAGACAAAGGTGGTATGTTGCATGATGTTGAAAGGTGTTGATTTAATAATATATTATGATTACAATCAAAATAATTGTATGTGAAAGTTTCATCAGCTTATGATTGAAGACATGATGACGCAATTCAAAATAATGTTTTTCTTTCTCTCTTTCGTATTCTTCACTAATATTTCGTGAGGCTTTTACTTTATATGTTGGTGAAGCTTAATTAATATTTAATCCAATCGGCAACATTGGATTGGGTATGGCTTGATGACTTGTTTTATGGTAAACAAAATTTTGAAAGTTTATTTAGGATTTTAGCTAGGTTGTTTAATTTGGTGCTTGCTTGTTCTTTTAAGAATGTTGGTAAGAGATTTGACTTATTTAATAAACAATTTACAAAATCTTGTGGGAAACAAGGAATAGGTGAAGGTATTTTTAATAATGAGAAAAATAGAAACTTTTGAGATATATATTGAAAATTTTGAAGATGGAGATGGAATTTTTACTAGCTATGAACAAGGGTGCGTAGAATTTGTACTAATACAAAGAAATAATTTCTAAATTGCACCAACAATGATGCGTGAACTGAAAATAAGAAATCAAAATTTGTGTAACATAATATATATATATATATATATATATATATATATATATATATATATATATATATATGCTCTAACTTACTATTAGTAGTATTTATTCAATAAAATGTTAACTCTAACTAAGATATGACTAAAATTTGAAACTTTCTTTATGAAAAATAACAATGATGCAATAAAATAACATATAGTTTTTCTAAAAGCATTTATCTTTTTTTTTTTTTTTTAATTTTTGTCAAAGTGGTTGGAGCATTGAAACATATGTTTCACGAGGATATGCAACGGTTTATTGTGTATAATTTGAGCACACAAGTTATATTATTAATGAACTTTAACAAAAATAAAAAATAAAAATAAAAAACACCTTTTTTAAAAGAGAATTAGGTTGAGAGAGTTTTCAAACTCCGTAGATGGAGAAAATAGTGAAAATAGTGATGAGTAACATGAAATGATATATTTTTTTCTAGGAGTAGTTTGTTATATATCTACTAATCTAAGAATCAATAAAATTAGACTCGAAAATAATTAAAAAACACGCACATTAAGCACACAAACAAAACACATTAAGAACACAAACTCACGCACTATCTTAAGTTTCAACAACTACTCACATTAAGCACAAAACTCACGGACTACCTTAAGTTTCAACAACTGCTCACATTGAGCACAAAACTCACGCACCTTAAGCACAAGACTCACACATGACCTTAAGCACAAGACTCACACATGACCTTAAGCACAAGACTCATGCACCTTAAGTACAAAACTCATGCACCTTAAGTTTCAACAAGTACTCACATTAAGTACACGCACCTTAAACACAAAACTCATGCACCTTAAGCATAAGACTCACGCACCTTAAATACAAAACTCACACACATTACTCACCGCACGAGAACTTAATTTTATTTATTTATTTTATTATTATATATATATATATATTAATACGTTTCTCTCATATTTCTTACATCTCCATATATTTTATTTTTCAATTTATTATTCTCGTAATTCCTACTTTCTTACGACTAATTGAAAGACATTCATTTTTGTCTATCATTTTTTAATATTCTGTTTGTCTACATTCTCCCAAGTCCTAGTGCCTTTCTGGGCTACTTGACTCGTATGGGTCGGATTGGTTAAGTTCATTTGGATATTTGGCCCATCTCTAGCCCGGAATTAAGTAAATGGCAACAATACTTATTGTGTGGACCTATCATCCAAAAACGACATCATTTCGCACAATTTTTTTTCACAAGATCCACTATAATATACATTATTCTTACCCATAAATACATTATTCGAAATTTTATTTTTCGCATATAGCACTTTTACTTTTAAGTTTTAACAAGTATGAAAGATCTACCATTAGCATTTTGCAAGTCACAAAAATGTCTCTCATACATGGTTCATCTAGGGTTGGGAGAGGGAGAGAGAACAGATGGTGTGAGAACATATATTATATATCAAATGGTAAAAAAGTTCATACTTATGTGGTGATAATTTTATAATTTTTTACAATTAAAAATGCATATTTACTTATATAAGTGTATTTTTCAGACTTTCACACAATAGTCCTATAGGGCAAAAAGGCACGAAAAGTAAAAATTTTCTATATTCTTCCAACTTTTTCATAAGTTGCATTAGCCGTTTACTTACATGTTGTTTTAAACTTTGGTTTACGGGATAGTCTGCAACCACTATCTGAATGTGCACTATTAGTGAAGTCACGCCTTATGACTCAAGCCAGCGAATGACCACGCAGAGGTAAACCAGCTTAAATTGCTTATAGTTGACCGACTCAAATTAAGAAAATCCAACAAGCAGCTCTCACGGGGAGTAGAACTTGGAACCTTATAATTATCAACGAACTCAACTACTCATCCAACTCGATTGGAATTGCTCTCGACCAGCTCAACTAGAGTTGTCCCGGCCCGGCAAACTCGGTTGTTCCGAAATGTTCGGTTATATATGTTCCTTCTATCCTGGTTTCAAAAAAAAAAAAAAAATGTTCCTTCAATCCTTTGTTGTTTGTGAAAATAAAGCAAAGAGAAATGCTTGAGTCAAGTACGTCCATGCATCCTTTAGGCCCTAGCTAGATAGGGCAAAGTAAAAGTATAAAGGAATCCATATTTGAATAGGATTCGTCCAGCTATGAAAAGATCCACTTTACCACTTTTTTGTTGATTCTTCTGTGTGTCATCAAGTAATGATAGACATATGGGACGACAGAACATATATTTGTGTTCTCAACAACCTTATCTTTTTCACTCACTGCAAATTCTAACTCCATCTACTGTTAAATTTATGTGCAGATTGAATGTCTGCACCGTAATAGATCATACTCATATTGGTCTACAAATTTTTTGAAAACCCTTAAAAAGTTTAAGCCGATCGAGTCTTTTAGCTATCCGGCCACTTAAAAAAAGAATGAATAAGGTTAAATAGGTCATCGAACTGCACACAATAATGCAATTAGGCCACTGAACTTAAAAAAACAACAATTGGGTCCCTAAACTAATAAATTTCAAACAATTCATCCAATTTAAAGGTTTCCAACAAGTTAACATGTCATCTCCTAAATTAATTATTTTTTAAAAAATAAATTTTAAAAATTAATTATTTTTAAATTATAAAAAGAAAAAAAAAACTTGGCTCCGGCCGGAGTCTTTTTTTTTTTTTTAATTTAAATAATTAATTTTTTAATTTTTTAAATAATTAATATGGAAGGATTACCTGCTGACCTGTTAGAAACCTTCAAATTGAAAGAATTGTTTGAAATTGGTTAGTTTAGGGACCCAACTGTTGTTTTTTTAGGTTCAGTGACCTAATTGAATTATCGTGCGCAGTTCGATGGCCTATTTGACTCTTATTCCAAAAAAAAAAAGAAAAAAAGCCTTTGAGAGAGCTCGTAGGTTATTACTTCAATTACAAAAGCCAAATCCAAAGACTTTACTAAAAGAAAATCAACTATTTTCCCCTGATTGTATACCTGTTTAAAATATTTTATTCTTATGAGGGGAAGCATTTTTTGATAAAAAGACCACTTTTATGGTGGCATTTAAAGTCGTCTTTTTGGTCTATAATTGATTAATAAAAGTTGTATTTTTCTTAGCTTGTTTGAGAGACACTATTCATGAGGGTAAGCTAAGGTCTTTCAATGCTTTTCAAGACAGTGGGTGGGATTTTTATTAGCTTTCATTAAAATGTTGTACTGGTTCTTTGGTTCAATAATTAGCATAGGATACCATTTTGACATCTCCCATGGTTTCCTAAATCCTTAAGACCCTACCCATAAAATCGTCTTTGGTAAATCGCGAGTGGTCCAAAGATCCCTCCAATCAAATCCTAATCTGTACACTATTGCGCACAAAAAGCTTTACCCTCCTACTCTCACCCTTTCACTAGTAGCGAGACTGAAGCGAGCTCAGGCGACTAACCATCTAAGCTAGTCTAGAGGGCATGTTTTCAATTTCAACAAGAGTCAACAAAAAGAAGATAAAAACCCAAACAAATTAAACATTTCTCTATGATAAAATGTAGCTAGCTAGTCTTATAGTGAATAGGCCTAATGCATTAGTAAAAATCAAGAATTTTTAATTTAGTCCAATAATCCACACTTATAATCTAACATATTTTCTTGTAGTACATTAGAATACAAAAGAAAAACATTAAACTTATTATTATTAAAATTTGCGTGAGACCGTTTCACATGATACAAATAATACTTAACTTGGGTGTTCCTATCTCAGACAATACGGGACGAACTTATTTATTACTTATAATCAAATACCACTCTTACAACTTAGAATATATAAACTTCACAAATTGGAAATGGAACCTAGCTTGTAGAGGCTTATTAGTGACTGAAACAGTATGTAAAATGAGCAAAATTGATTAATGAATAATGTCAAAAAGAATAAAAAGAGGAAATCTAATAATTGTCATAAGTTTACAGATAGATTACTCCATGGAATCATTAACTCCATGTCAGGATCAGAAGAAAGCTTTCATGCTTATTAGCTTGTCTTCTTGCTCAGATCAGAGCTGCATTTCAAGAGTTCCAGGCTCCTTCTTCCCTGCAAGGCTGTAGATCTGTGATTCTGACAACTTATTTTCATTTTCTTGAATTTTAGCTTCCATCTATATATCAGATGAGAAAGAAGAGGAGAAATGGGATGATAAAGAGAGATAAAGAGGGCTTGAATTGGAGGGAGTATGATGAGGGTGGTGGAGGGCTGTGGAAGTAGAATGGGAAGTAGGGAACTATAGGGTTGGGAGGTGGCGGCGCCGGGCCGGAAGGGTAGGCTTTGTACGGCGGCGGAGGGAAGTAGCCTCCCGCCGCCACCCCCTTAGGTGGAGTGTAGGGGTAGTAGCTGTAGCCGCCTGAGGGTGGTGGTGGGGAGTAGTAGTAGTAGGTGTTGGATGAGTGAGGAGGAGATGGTGGTGGAGGGCAGTTGGCGGCGGCGGCGGGTGGCGGCGGTGATGGGGTGTCGCATGGGTTGTCACAGGATGAACACAATGTGCATTCAATTTGGTACTTTGATCCAACCCAAGTGTTGTTTGTTGCAGCAGCCATTGATAATGGCTGCCAATCCAGTTCCAATGCCACTAACATCATCACAGAAGAAATCAAGAAAGGCAGATTCATCTCCATTTCTTGATTTCTCTACCAAAATGCAAGAAAAAAAGAGGACTTTAATTTGATGGTCACTCCAAGAAAGAGAGAGAGAGAGAGAGAGGGGTCACTTGTGTTGAAGCCTGCAGGCCATATCACATGTCTATCTCTTTATGATGAGTTAAGAAAGGTGTTTTATTATAGGCAAAAGGAGAACAAAGGGAGGTGGAAAAAGCCTAATCCTTCAAAAGATTTTTTAAAAAAGTTGAAAAGAGGGAATTCACTATAGAGAAATTGTTCACATTTACTTTAATCTAATCTCAAATGTTTGCACTGGGTAAACTCCGCTAGAAAGTATTTACAAGAGCTTGTTGCAACAAGATGTATACAAGACAGATCGGAGGAGACAACCCTAACTAAGTTAGTTGAGTTATTGCCTCGATAACCATAAGGTTCCAAATTCGACTCCCAGTAGGAGCGACCCATTGACTTTCTTGAGTTAAACCGATCAGCTATCGCATATGGGCACCTAAATTAATTTACCTACAAAAGGTAAGGTTTACTCAGTAAACACTCGCATCTCGCATATACTGGCTGCGAGTTTCCCTTGACACCCAAAAAAAAAAAAATGATAGGACATTAATGATGTAAGCATTCATGGAAACATGGAGGTTTTTATTTCAGAGCAGCAGAGTGAGTAGATGGAGCAATATAATGCACTAAAAGAAACTTCAAACAATCTTGGAAGCTAAGTATAGAGCAAAGTGAAGAAAGAATGTCAAAGACTTGTGTCTTGAGCAATCAAATAAGTTCTTCTGTACATCAAGTCATCAATGCCAAATCATGAAAATAAGGAGGATGATGATGAATTGAGTTAATAATGTTAGGGGAAAGGGACTCATGTTCATGAAAACTAGGAACCTTTTTTCTAGCCACCGAAGAACCACTCGAGCACTTATATATGAAGCAATCTCCCTACAATCACACCTACCTAGAACCGTCAAAACTTTTGTGTGTAGATGGGTTCAGCAGTATAGTACACACTTCTCCTTCCCGTTCTTCCATCCATTATTTCGGGTCGAGTGGGATGTTTGTTCTAGAATGGATCAGCATGGTGGGATGTAAACTAACAAAGAAGACGGGACAGCAAGGTGAGGCCAGTATCGAAGAACATCAAATAAGTTTTTTTTTTCGGGTGTAAGTGCAACTATGTACACCAGTAAGTGCAACCATATATCCATATAATGCAAGCTAGAGACACAGTAGAAACATCCTACACTGGAAGATTATCCAATTGGTATCCATCAAAGCCAAACTCGTTCTCGACTGGTCCAAGGCTATTATCTTGCTGCTACATATTATAAGAAACGTTAGAATGGTGAGATGCTTCTAGAGTTTTAGCACATTCACAGTTTAGGAGTAGAGGAAAAGACTAACCTGTTTGAGAAGGGCACTCATGAGGTCGTCCTGACCGTATTGGTCAGAGAAAAGCGTGTTCTGAAAGGTTGTATCAGGGAGTCTCTCGGTCTTGATTGTGACGGGATTTCCACCACCGAGTAGTGAGTTGAATTGTGGACCGAGCATTGGGTTGTTTCCACCATGCCCGGTTTCTTCCCCGCTCAAGAATACGTCCTTGTTGATAGGTGCGTTTCTCTTTTGGTTCGAGGAAAACCCGTGTTGAGCCATAACTGAGGGTGGGGCGTCGAGGAAATGATGAGGAGGGGCATCGAAAGTGGTTCCAACGTTTTGTAAACCCCAATCCTGTGCTTTATGCTGATGGAGATCGTTAAAGATATCGTAACCGGGAACAAATCCTCTCGTTCCTTTGACATCGGGATTAGCCTGTTCTCGGAGCATTCCTCTGGATGTTAGAGACGACACCCCGGAATTGCTAGTAGTATAACTATTAGTTTGCAACTCGGTGCCCTGGTTTACCGAGAAAGCCACTGTTGATGGGGCATGGGAAACGGAATTGTCAACGATACTATTCCCTCCAAGGACTCCACCCGTCAAAAGGGGCTGTGGGACCGATAATGGCAGCCGGGAAGCTTGACCGCCATTCGGGTCATTTACCATTTGAGCCCGAGGCTGGGTTTGTGCCATCTGCATTAGTAACGGGTTATTTTGGTGCACCTGGGAGTTCAATTGCATACTCATACCACCGAAAGTCGGAGAAGATTGGTGCAAGCTTGCAAGCTGCTTTGGCTCCATTGTCGTTGGGATTCCATGAAGCAAACCGATTTGCTTACTACTATTGCCCATTTGTGGCGGTCCATCGCCAAATCTCGACTTTGGATTTTCAAAGCTAAATAGGTTTCTTTGATCCACTAGGGGCATTGAAATTGCCGATTTAGTGACAGAACTGCCCAGTGCCGCCGCCTGGAATGTAGCAAGACTCTGTGCAGATATTTGACCCGAGGCAGCTAGCGCCTGGAGATCAAGCCCGTTGAGTGACGACATAGACCCGAAGGGCGATTCCGGATGCCCCATAAAAGAATTACCCAGTCCACCCTGACCACTCAACCTCCTCAGATAAAGACGATATTTCTGCAAACCCATGCTCGTAAAGTTAGTTCTCTTTGAACGAAACAAGGAAAGGCTTTCTCGTTGCAAAACATTGTATATATATATAGATAGAAATCGGTTTCCTCCACTACCTGAAGGTGGCTAGCAACATTCTCTCTTGTAAGCCCAGGAACATTCATCAATTCCAGAATTTTTTTCGGGACAGCCTCTGTGGATTAACAGAAAAATGCCGTGAAAAAACAGATTTATGTATCATTAGCCGCAATCTGCTAATTCAAATTGTGAAAATTGAAGTGTAGGACTAAAAATAACATCTGCCAAAACAAAAATTCCATGTTTCCAGGCCAGACCAAATTATATGGAACTAAACTTATCATAAAAGTACTAGGATAGCTCTAATAAAAGTACTAGGATAACGGATTGAAAAGTGAAGCATCATAGTTCTACACACACAAAAAACAAGTTACCATAGAACAATAATCAAGCAGCCAAGTAAAAGATGGGAAATGGTACGTACTGTCAATTCCTAATTGATTTACTGCCGCCACGAATTGCTGATGGAGCTCCACCGACCAAACGACACGTGGCTTCTTCAATGTGGATGAATCATCCCTTTCTTCACCTTCATCTTCTTCGTCCTTTCTTTTCTTCGAGCTTTTCCAGTTCCCTTCGTTTACCGAAGACGAGTAATCAGCATCGTCCGAAGGTTTTTGAGGCCGATCGCCGCCTTCTTCTGCACTCCCCGATTGCTCGGGATCCTTTTCCTTCCACTCGTGCTTCCTTTTGCGGACCACATGTTGCCATATGTTCTTCAGTGCCTCGATACGGACCGGCTTGATCAGATAATCACACGCGCCGTGCGTAACGCCCTTCATCACAACGTTCTTGCTATCGTCGGCTGACATCACTACAGAGTTATAGAACGAGACGTTAAATTGGCATCCGTTACAACGGTGAAATTAGGGTGTAATCTGAAACCAAATTGGCATCTGTTACTTACTAATAACGGGCAGGTCCATCTCGAGACCGACATGCTCAAGAAGTTTGAAACCGTCCATGTCGGGCATATGGACATCACTTATAACGATATCAAAGCCATTCTTATTTTCCCGAAGCAACGATAGAGCAAGCTCTGCCCTATTGGACTTGGTTACTGGAAAATAAATCAAGAAAATTTGTGTGAAAACACAAAACAAAAACAAAAAACAAAACAAATCTTATGATATCACAAGTTCATACCCCCAAATTAAACATTCCCAACCCAAGCAATCTACCCTTACCAATGGTGTTTCTTAGTTAGATTTCACACAAATTACCAACCCCCCACCCCCACCCCAAATATATATATGAGTGTGTGTGTGTACATATATGCATATATACATATACAATCACAAGATTTAAAATCTTCAATGTTAGTTGGACTAACTTCAAAGGACATGAGAATGTGTTAATTTAGTTGTAGACATCTTCCAATTTCAACTTCAAAGAATGACAGAATTCTCCCCAAATCTCACTATTTTGAATCTTGGAAGTAATTGCTATAAAAATTGCAGCAGAAACCTGGGATTTCCAAATCCCCTCAAATATTCCCATACAAAAATGGAAAGAACAAAACAAAAAGACTTGAACTTTTCAATTACCCAGATAAAATCAATTGCAGAAATTGAAAAACAACAACAAATCACCACAAATTCAGTCCAGACTGCAGAAAAAAAAAAAAAAAAAAAAAACAAAACTTGATGGCCAAATAGTTGTGTTTATGACAGTACAGAGAGATTTGATACCTTCATAGAGGCAGGTCCTAAGCATCTTCTCCAAGATCCTGAGGCAAGTTGGGTCATCATCCACAACCAGCACCCGGAGACCCGCCGGAAACTTGTCGGAGACCGCATCACCGGACTTCCAAGAGGCGTTTGAGCACGTAGCCGACATCCCCTTTCCCACTTGACCACCACCTAGATTCATTCTTTTTTTTTTCTTTTCTTTTCTCCCCTTCACTATTCAGCTCATATATAAATATACTACATCCAATTTATGGTAAGTACAAAATTAAGGGAAATTGAGAAGTACCCAAAAACAGAAATATCCCAAAATTCAAGCCTATGAATTTTCACATGCCCAAACTCATACCCAGTTCCCAGAAATTCCAAGAAAACATCAAAGTAAGCGAAAGAAAAAGGCTTTTTGGGCTTATAGAGGAAGAAAAATGAAAGAGAGGCAGCAGAAGAGAAGTAATTATTTATACACTAATATTTGTACTTATATATATATATGTATATGTATATATATGTGTATGCACATGAGATGAGGACCTCTTTTGTGCTTGTGCTTAAAGGAGGCATTCATCTTTCTGGACTTGGGGTTTATCCTCATTACAATTTTTCAATGCCTTTTTTTTTTTTTTAAATTTTTGTGATTATTTTATTTGATTTATGAATTTCTTTTACTCCCTATTTGCTAGTGGGTCTCTCCGTTGAGTGTGGATCCAGCTCATGTATGAGTTTAACTTGCCCCACGCCAGCCAACTTCATTTTATATATTTATATATGCATATTTTTCTCTCACATTTCTTCTATACTTTTTCTTCATCCTTATTCCTTACTTGTATCTACATCTCGTAAGATAAGATTAATTTAGTCGAGTCTAATTTAGATCCTATCAAAAATATTTCTCCCAAATTCTTTGATATCATACATATGTCATCTTATAGTCTCCTAAAAATTATAGAGTATTCTTTTTTTTTTTTAGCTAAAATATAGTAAATGTTATGTTATTTTTACCAACCAAACTCGCTAACTAATATTCACACTTCACATTATAATTGATGTAGTCAATATAAGGATTTCTACTAATTCGTAAGGTACATTGATCGGACCTGATTTCGGTCCTTTTATCGTCTGCTTGATGGTTTAAGTCTTTAAACTCGAATCACGTGACAGTGGGTGAGAGGATTCCGAGTTAAAGATAAAGGTCTAGAAAATGTCAAAAATCCCACCTCTGTGTATTTGATGCAGTATTTATAGGGAGTGTCAGGGAACAGCTACCGGCCCCTCGGCATGCACGGCACGTAAAACGCATGCAGAGGGCGAGGGCGGTGGTCCAGGCTGATCCGTCCACGTGTTCGCCGATTCCTATTGCTACAGGGTTCACTATCGTTGTTTTTAGCTGACGTTGTAAGTATCTGAGGCCGAGGCTTGGTCCCGACCTAAAATGGTCAAAGTCATGCAATCGGCACTGATCTCCCATTAGTTAGCGAAACCCTCTCAGTCCGGGATCTAGCTTGGGGAAACATGCACCCGGATCAGTGTTCATCGGACCAGACTCACACTTCGATACCGGTCTAGTGTTGAATACGGTATGGTCGGGGAATAATCCCTCTCAATCATTTTAAGAAGTTTCATTAGACACGCAATAGTATTTTTTATGTAATGTAACATAACTTTGTAATTATTTCGTTTTTGTTTCTCCATTTTCTAGTTTTTAAACTGAAGAAATATACTAACAATTGTATTATATGTTTTCCTTTCTTCAATTTTCCATTTCTCTACAAAAAATAGAGAATTTTCCCAGCACAATATGATTATGTAAATACTCTTGAAAGTAGAGTATTATAGATATCATTGACTAATTAAAACTTTTATATGTATACCAACATGTGGTGGATGTCCAAATGGGTTGACTTTCAAGAAATAACTTGTGGGGAAGTAATTCGTTGGATTCAATTCAAGGAAGTTTTATTGACAAACAGAATATTATATTGGAGGGTTTGGTTTAAAAAAAAAAATTATTTTTTGAAAAGTTAATAACAAATCATATGAAATTTAATTACTTCTGATTTCATTGCCTTAATTACATCGTTTTTCCAACTCAGCTTAGCCACCCATGGTAAATCATCAATGAAATAAATTCTACGTTCAAATGTTATTTATTTATTTTTGGATAATTAATTATAATGAGCATTGTACAATATTAAATGTCTAGTTAAACGTTTTAATTAGAACCGTCAAGGTGGAGCGACAAGGCGGAGCCCGACAAAGCCTACCCTTTGGCGGGGTGGGCGTTAAAAGATTATGTTTTGCAGGTTTGAAAAGAATAAAATCAGACCACATTTATTGTGGAGCATAACGGTCTTAACTCAACATGTTTAGCATGTTTTGACAGTTCTAATTTTAGTAGCTTAATTACTACTACCTTCAAAAATGTTAACCTATTATCCAATATATATATTACCTCTACAGGACAAAATGATCAATCATGTTAATATAATATATATTTTGTGAATTTATAAAGTGTCGATTAATATTGATACCTTTTTTTATTAGATATAATCATGGATGTTACTTGAATTGTATTTGATACTATCAACATTTGTTTTCATAGTATCCAATGCGATCTGCAAAGTCATATTATGTGTAGTTGTAGTTGTACATGATATATACTACTTTGGCAACCATTGATGTCTTAAAAATTCTCAATGTTATTTGTTATTGTACAAATTTAACATTCAATGTGTATATAAAATTGGACAAAATTTAAAATTAATTTCACTAATTATAAGTATGCACAATAAGCTACTTGATCTATGTGTTATATATGTTAACTTGTTTGCATAAGATGTTAATTGAGTTGCAAACTATTTGTGAATAGTTTAGATTAATTGTATCCAAAGATGCCGATAGCTAATTAAGCGGGTGGAGTATAATTCTCGTACATAAATTAAACGTTATGAGTTCGATTCTTGTCAACTCTTTCTTGGTCAAACTTATCGCACAAGATCTTCCTACTGCGGTTTACTTCTCTTGTGATTTGTAGATTATTACATGTAAGCAGGATTTATCCCGTGCACAACTTGAATAGTGATTGAGTTTCCTTCATCCCCCCCCCCCCCCCCCCCCCCCAAAAAAAAAAAAGAATTAATTATTATTATAATGTGAATGTGAATGTTATTTTATGCACAATATACTAATTAAGTTAATACAATTATTTCTACTTTTGATCTTACGACTATTAGATTATTCTATATTCACTGCTAGAAATTATGGAATTTTTGACCACTTGAAAATGATCTTAAATCAAATCGAAGGCAAAAAGTGGTCGGAAATAGCAACAAAGGTTTTTTCGGATACCAAAAGTGGTCGAAACAAGACTTTCAACTTGATTTAAGATTACTTTCAGGTTGTCGGAAATTCCATAATTTTCAGCAGTGATTCTATATTTCGGCTTTAAATTTTATTTTTGGCACATTTGGTATACGATTTTTATATTTGTTAAACATTCAATCCATTGTCCAAATATCCAATAAATAAATTAAAAAAATTAAAAAAAAAAAACTTAAATGTGTCATATTTTCAATTCAAAATTATGCCGACTTGAATGCTTCAGTGCTTTTAAGAAAAAAAAAGTCTAATTTTGAACTTGAATTGTGGTGAATTTCAATTGTTTTCCATCAAAGATTTGATCAGAATGGTCAAATGCAGCAAAAAGATAATAAAAGTTACGTACCAAATAAAACAAAAAAATACTTGATAACGAAATGTGAAATTTACATAACAATCGTCGGGCTAAAAGTAGAAATAATTCATACCTGAATTAGGCAGTATCATTTATACATAACTATATTAGAGAATGAAATACGTTAAAAGTATTTGTGCACTATATGTTCTTGGTATTACCATATATTTATCGATCTTATATATTATGTATTTCAATTGTACACTTTATTTTAGTCAATAATTCAAATAATGGAAATAGTATGAATTGTAACTAAAAATATACACAAATTAATTGTATTTAATGCAGCATTGATAAAATTGGGTAATGATCTTTCCCCAATGAAGACAATATTTTCTTCTATATTTTTATATTCGTTTCAATCCAAGAAACCCCCGAAAGATGGGGTATTGTTGGAACTTGGAAATGAATTTAAAATAAAACAATACAATAAATATCAATAAAAATGTCATTTTTAAAAATCTTCCTTAAATGTACAGAAGGAAAAATTAGACGATTTTTCAATCGGTTTAAAATAATTATATGTTGATTTAGACGTGTCGAAATTAGTACAAATTAAATTACTTTGGGCAATCAACTTGCTTTGATATATTATAAAATTCAACTAGTTATGTAAATAAAAAAATGGTTACTTTTGAAAAATATGTTTTTAAAAATACTTTCTATCTAAATACTTTTTAATAAATATTTTTAAAAAAATCATTTTTATAAATACTTTTTGTTTCGTTACCACTTCCTACATTTATATCATAACGTTTTTGTGAAGTCTATCACATCAATGGCAATGCAAAAAGTGGCACGTGAAGAAAAGGAAACAAGAAAAAAAATACATTATTTTGAACAAAAAATCATGTCATAACTCATAAGTAATTATATCTCTTTTTAGTAAAAATAGTATAAAAGGAAATACAAATTTACCAAATACAAAATATACAGCACATAGTAACAATGTAATTATATCTCTTTTAATTTTAGTAATAGTAAAAAATGAAATACGAATTTTCCAAATATAAAATAGAAAGCACATAGTAACATAGGCACTATTATAACTTACATCTATTAATTAAATTAATAGATGGTTCCTTTTTCTTTTTCTTTTTTCTTTTTTGTAGCGATGAAAATTTCCAGTCATTACTTGATGGTGTACACTCGTGTGGTAAACTTTGTTCCTGTTTAATAGTCACAAATCACTTAAGAAAGGTAAATCGCATTAAAAAGTTTATGTACGACAAACTCAACCGATAAATTGTTGATAAAAATTAAACTCGCAACTTTCTGGTACGCGAATCATTCTTTACACATTCAAGCACCCCTTTCGGGGCTCATGGTTGCCTTCTTAATTGAGTAGTATGTCATATAGTTCCGAGGCCTAGTCTCTCTTTACACGCAAAAAAAAAAAAAAATAAAAAATAAAAAAAATAAAAAATTGTAGGATAGGTGTAAATGTATTTGTTAGGTATATATAATGGGCTATTTGGTTTACACCTAGGCAGCTGCAATGTTGCATGGCCACATGTCAAATATAATAATAATAATAATAATAATAATAATAATAATAATAATAATAATAATAATAATAATAATAATAATAATAATAATAATAATAATAATAATATTATTATTATTATTATTATTATTATTATTATTATTATTATTATTATTATTATTATTATTATTATTATTATTATTATTATTATTATTATTATTATTATTATTATTATTATTATTATTATTATTATTATTATTATTATTATTATTATTATTATTATTATTATTATTATTATTATTATATTATTATTATTATTATTATTATTATTATTATTAT